GGGGGGGGGGGGCGGCGGCGGCAGCAGCAGTTGAGGCTGCCCAAGGGCGTGGGCAGCCTGGGCAGGGGATTCTCAGAGCTAGCGGCAGCTACTGCTGCGCTGGCAGCTGCCGGCAGTCTCAAGCAAGCGCAATGTGGTAGCCGTGATTGACCTGGCAGCCCTAGCGGCCGTTTAGCAGGCACAGCCAGTTCAGCACTTTGGATGGTGGCACACATGGTGCTCGGCCAAGCGCTGGATGCAGAGGATGCTGTATCTTTCAGCCCAAGAACCGCTCCAGCGTCATTGCACCCACACCCACCCCGTCTGTCAGCTGGGCTTTGCTCACTCGCCCATTGCTTGCCTGCCCTCCTGCCCGCCTGCTGCAGGAGCTGGTCAGGGCCTCAGTGGAGCGGCATAGGTGCTGCAGCTGCCGCCGGCAGCTGGCTTCTTCCCCAGCAGGCGCTCCTAAGCGCGGTGCATTACGCATGAGAAACATAGGGGAGGAGGCCATCCGTCGCCTACGCCAGCGTGATGCGCATGGTGGCGCCAACTTTGGCAGGGACGGGGTGGCGCCTTTGCCGACCGCGCCCAGCCGTTGTTGCTCAAGCACATGGCAGACATCATGCCGTTGACCAGGCCCATGCTCATCAGGGGTGAGCCCCACTGGGACTAGATCGAGCAGAGGAATCCAGGCTTCAAGGGAACCTCTTAACTTACATCTACCGATTTCTGATCGTGTACAGAACCAGGGAAAGAAATTCAAAGCTTGCTTTTGGGTCATCCGCTCGGGCCCGCTAGACGGCGCCGCATGGCACGTTTGAACGCCAGTTAGTGAAAGTGCACAAGCAACACAGAAGAGGCTGAAGCGTGATTGGCGGCGCAGCGTGGACCATAAGGCTTAGTTTTAGCACTGAAACACCTCAAACTTGGGCTCTGCTATGCTGACAGAATCCACAGCCGACAATACCTTGCCATTTGTCTTGTCGCTGCACAATGAAAGGAACGCATTTGTGAGGTGACATCCAAACAAGGGCATGGTGAGGTTGAGGGAGCGACCTTGCCTTCTGAGCGCCTTGACAACTAGATCTGCCACGTCGGCACGTGTAATGCTGCCGCACACCGTCGTGTCCTCTGCAGCACAAGGCTTCGGAGGTTGGGGCAGCAATCCAGTGGAGAGAGGCATACGGCAGCATGGCAACTTGAGATACTATCTGGCATTTGCACATCCTGCCCTTCCCTACCCGCCTGACCTGTCAGCACACCGGTGCCGGTGGCTGGTTCACTTTTCAGGCCGCCTGGTCGCACAATCACAAAGGACAGCGTGTTGCCAGCCTCCTGCACCATGGTGTGTAGGAACACACCGCGGCGTCACAAGCTGGTGTGGCATCTAAATCGCGTGGGAGAAATATGGCCTGCAGCGGCAAGTCCAGTAGTAGTGCAGCTGCCTCACCTTGAGCCGATCCTCTGCCTTCTCCTTTTCCAGCAGCACCGGCTTCAGCACATCGTAAACGTGAGGCGGGGTGGCCCCCTTGCTGTCACCTGCGCACATGTACACATACTGTGGCGCCTTCCGCCAAGCAGGTGCACCTGCTTTGCTACCAACTCGGTACATGCAACATGTGATTAACTTTAAGTTACGGCTGCCTACCAGTGCCGATACTTGTCACCAGCACAAACTTTTTGACGCCGTGCCGCACCGCTGCCTCTATCAGATTGATGTTTCCCTGCATGGGAGGGCAGCGAGAGGCAGGGAGGGGCACTATGCCAGGGAGCGTACCTTGATGAGGCACGCTCCAACGCGCAGCCTGCAGGCTGGGCGGGCCTTGCCGCCTGAAGCACATGCATCTGCCTGCACCTGAGAATCGGCGGTGGGGTCGGCCGTGGTGCCGCCAATGGTGCTAACCACGGCATCAACGCCGTCAATGCTGGCAAACGCCCGCTCAACATCCTCAGGTTTGCAGGCGTCGCCGTTGACGACAATCGCCATCATGCTTTCAATCTCCTTCCTGCGTGGCACAACCCACAGTCAGTTGTGGCCTTCAACAAAAAGGATACTGACGAGCAGGATCCCCCGCTGGGACATGAGAGAGCTTGAGGGTGGGGGGCAGGTTCTCACCTGCGCACATCGGTGCGCTGCAGCTGCCACACCCAGGAGCCCAGATCCTTGAGCCTTCTTGTCACCTCGATCCCGCAGCCTCCACCTCCTGCGACAAGCACCGAGGCATTGTCCAGGTCCAGCTCACTCCTTGGGGCCACGCAGCGGCGCGCTGCAGAGGAGGGGCCGCCGGCCCGGCGGTGGGTGGGGGTTGTCAACCAGACGGCGGCTGCGGGGAGCACGCGGGCTGCGACAGCGGCGCGTTAAGCTTCGCACTGCCTGTCGCTGTGCGTGCACTCAGTGCAGCACTCGTGCAACACTTGTGTGTGCTGCCGAAGAGACAAGTGCCTCTCAGCACATGTGCAACACAATGTGCGCACACTTTGCCCCGGCACATGCAATCGCACACGTGCCTGCGCGCGAGGGTCCGCGCAAGAGACCGCCCCGAGCCGCTGCCAAAGCAGTGCTGGGCCGTGTGAGTACGACCATGGATGATGATGATGCTGACCAATAGGCGCTGTTGCTCTTCTCGAAAATCTTAGCCATTCACTACAAAGTGTACCGCCGACCGGAGCTCAACAGTGGTTGCTGCCCTCGCACGCGCGCACGCACGCAGAGTCCTGCTCTTTGCCCTCGCTGCCCACACTTTTCTCCGACGCCAAAATCAAGTCTGTCTGGCCTCAGGGCAAGAAGTTGAAAGTTTGCACAGCCTAGATTGGGATTCCTCAATACCAGGGCTGGTAGGTAGGGCACATCTTCGCCAGATTAGCCGCGGCCACCGCCTCCGCCACCAAAGCGCGCGTGCCCTGCTGCGGGTGGCCCGTGAGGGTGGGGGCCATGGTCGCGACACGGTTCATACAGGTCGCCGTGTTCCAGGCCACGCACGTCTCTAGCTGCGTCGTCTTCAGGCTGGCATTCAGAGCCGCGATGCAGCGCGCGCCGCTGCGCCGCGCCGCCCACGACAGGATGTCATCCCTGTGCGCATCACCAACCAGGCGTGCGGGCAGGGGCGTGTCAACATTGCAGCCTCTTGCAGTCTATGCTCGGTGGTCAGCGGGTCTGCTGCTCGGACATGCCTCGCCGTGCCCCGAGCATGCACCCCGCCATGCCCAAGCCCAAGCCCCACGCCCCCCTGCGACTGCCGCCCACCTGAAGAAGAGGGCGATGATGGAGGACACGATGCTGGGCTCCGTCTGCAGCGCCTGTGCCGCTGCCGCCATGGCGCAAACAACCATGCCCTCCATGCCCTGGGGCCCAATGAACGACTGCATGTTGCGCGTCAGGCGGAAGGGCACCGTCTCGTGGCCTCGCTCCAGCTGGAAGCGCGTGTCGTAGGTTGAGATCAAGTCCGCATGGGTGATGGTGCCCATGCTGCGGGAGACCAGCAGCTTGCTGGGGGATCGCCCAGTGAGCAGCAACATGTGGCACGCAACCGCTGCAGCAGAGATGGAGAAATGGGGGAGCAGCCTATCAGCAGGTCCTTTGTCGATCGCCAGGGGCACGCAAAACATCGCCAAGGGGCACGCAAAACATTACGCACAAGGCCCCATCACACGTGGGGTCGCGCCGCAGCTACGAGCATGACAGCGGCCTCACCCGACATGGCTGCGCTTAGCGCAAACTGCTTCTTGATGATCCACATGCTGAGGTTGTTTTCCACCATGGTTTTGTACATGAACTGGCTGAAGATGTTCTCGGTCACACCCTTCTCCACCACCTCCTGGTAGGCCTCCAGCCTCGTCTTGCCATCGGCCGTCATGCCGTCGGGCATGCAGCACCGGGCCTTGAAGGCCAGGATGGGCGCATCTGCCTCGCGACCATAGCGGGCACAGTGGGTTTCGTACGCCTCGCTGAATGGGACAACGCTAACATCGTCCTCCACCATGCGCACCCCTGCGGTTATGAGCAGAGAGCGAATGCAGAGCATTATTCATGTGCTAGCTAATTGTACGTACCTGAAAGACATACACGGTAAGGATACAGAAGCAGCAAATTTCATGCACCTTGGTGTGGCACCAACACAGTAGGGGCCTTGAGTTGCAGAAGACGGCGCCGGGCCTCTGGGTGCGCAAGAAGGCGGCTGTTGGCGTTTCGCAGCAGCGCTTGGATGCGCTCCTCTGAGCCAGTTGTTGTCTGCGAGGCGCGAGAGATGTGCAACCCATCATGGTCCGAGATTATCTCAACAGCAATCATCGACGTGGGCCTGGCATTGCCGTCTTCCCACCAATGCAGACAGCCTGAAATATCCTACATGGCTCCGCGGAACACCCACCTGGCTGCCCTGAAGCAGGAAGGTGCGCAGTGAGCCGTCTGACCCATGAAGCACAATGCGCCGGCAGGAGTTGCTGTTGCGCCGCACAACTTGGATGTCGCTGCCCAGCCGGTCAACATACACCTGCACGAGCATGGCGGTAGGAAGCATCGTAACAACACCAAGTAGTGCCATTGAGCGTTGAAGAGAAGAGCCACGAAGACACACGTGTCGTACCATGTCTGGAGCATCTGGGGCGGGCAAGTGCTGTCCAGGCATCTCCATCTCCTCCAGGGACATATCCACAAGCTGCAAACAGCATGGGGAATGGTAGCCCCGGTGACCAACGGGGTGGGTACGATTATCACCAACGTCATGCCGGAACAGATGTACAACAGTGCTTGCCGTGGGCGCCTCGACCTCCATCTTCGTGGTCAGTGGGTATTCGTGGTCAATCATGCTTTCGAGCAACATGCGCCAGCCCTGCAGCAGGTATTTTATGCGGCAAAGGCATACAGAGCCCAATTGTTCAACAAGTGAACACGACAGAGCTTAATCCCCGACTGAAATCCACAATAAAAATCCAGTTTAGAGGTTGGCTCCTGGTGTGTCGAACTCCCACCTTCAGCCGATCCGTCATTTCACCAAGCGTCTGCGGGGCGCTGGAGGAGGCTGGGTCCAGGTCCTTGGCAAACTGTTGCTGGAAGTGAACCAGCTTGCCCCCAGATGTCGCATCCCGATTTCCGCAAGCTTTGCACACTCCTACCGGGAAGGGTGCAGACAAAGCAACATATTGGCTGCTGGCTGTATACATACCAGACGCACGAACTTTTTGTGGGCACACATGCCGCTCCATCATCCCAGTGAAGACCCCTGCACCTCTGAATTTAGCCCACCTGCCAACTCCCTTTTGAAAACCTCTGGCACCGGAGCGCCAGCTGGCAGCCCCGTTTTGTAGGTGCGCTGCTGCAGGGTATACACCACTGCCAGTAGCCTTTCCTCCGTGCGGCTGGTGAACCGCAGCCCCATTTCGGTCATGAAATGGTCGAGAACCTGCAGGCAGATATGACAAAACGGTAGCTTGCTGAAAAAGACTACAACTAACAGTAGCGGGTGTCAATATATGTACAACAAAACGCACCTGCAGAGGGCCACTATACTTGGCCCGCAGTGCCTCCATAACGTCCCGGCAAGCCTCGTAAGCCATGACCTGCTGGGCACCCAGAAGAAACAGCTCCAGCAGAAGTTGCAGGATATCCACGATACTAATGACAATGCCAGCACAGAATGCCAGAACAGACGCCTCTCCTCCTCCCACTCACCGACCAAACCACCACCTTGCAGAATACATACCTCAATGGGTTTTTCAATCTGTGGTGAAGGCGGCCGCACTTGCTCCTGCCGCTCATTACCCAAAGGCGCCTGCTTATCGGGTGGGCCTGCCACAGGCGTTGAACTATCGGGTGCTGCTGAAGCTGACCCATCCCCGCCCTCCTGCTGTGCACTGGGCCCCGACACAGCAGCACTCGAGCGGGCATTTGCCTGCAAACGCCATGGAAACAGGGCTGTGTTATGCATGAAAGACAGCGGATGCATAGCAAACACGCATGTAACTTTGCAAAGCACGTGTAACACATGGGAACATGGGGCGAGGCATCGGACGAGTAATGCACCTGAGCCTTTGCCTCTTGAACTGCCTTCACCGCCGCCTCCTTCATTGCAAGCATGCTGGGCCGCACATGCCAGTAGAGCTGCTGTGGAAACGAGCTTGCTGCTGCTGACAGGATGCGCCGCGCTACGGCTACCTCTGGCCGCTGCAGGGAGGTCATGAGCTGGGGAATCCATGGCAGCCAGATCCAGCCAGGGAGATCGGTTGCCTTGTGCGCTACAGCACGGCCCAGTGTTTCAGCACCCTTGGGCTCCACCATCAGGAGGTGAAGCAGTCGTGACACCAGGTCCCGGGCATCTGTGCTGGCAAGCCTGATAGCCTGCAATCAAGCACGCCAGAAGACTCAGCACACTGCAGAGAGGTAGGTGAGGGATTTGCAAAGACAACAGGCACAGGAAGCCAAAAAGAGAGAGTCAGTGTGTGCAGCATTGCATTGCATACCTGCAGGAAGCACGTCGCCAGGAACTCCAGCCATTGTGCCTCCTTGGATTTGTCATACATACTGTCGCAGAACTTGCCCCAGGCCATCCAAGCTTCCCAGCACAGTGGCCACAAGGTGAGCGACTCACTGAACATGCTGTGTGCTGCAGAACATGTGTTGATCAACGGTCGCGGAGGATACCTCATCCCGTGTGCAGGACAAAAAAAACTTTGTGTCGCAATGCTGTGTGACAAGGCGCGCCAACGCTCGTCCCCAATGTGAAGTCTGTTGCTCCCAGCAGAACACGTAGAGCCAGAGCGACACAAAAAGGGGAGTAAATGCTCACCCGCATCGCCATCTCCCAGAGCGGCAAAAAACTGAGCCTTCAGGTTGATCATCTCAGCCTGATGTTGGGGCTGGAAGTAGTCCAAGTTGGTTGAGTTGATGAGATTCAGCCCCTGCATGTGGTCCTCAGCTTTCTGCAGGAAGGCCTTGGCCTGCTCCCGCACCTGCACAACTCCAGATGAAAGCGAAGTCGATGTATGCCTTTGTTACAACAAACCTGCCATTTGTGCAGGGTACAAAAGCAAACGGCCGTGGTCGTTGCCACAGAGGGAGTGCCCACCTTCACAAACGCCTCCTGCACTTCCATGGCATTGAATCCATACAGTGTGTTGATGACCTGTACGCATGCCTCAGGCTGGTGATGCAGCCGCGCAATGCGGCCAAGACGATTCACGCTCCAAGCTTTGTCTCTACACCATGGTGCAAAGCAATGGAGGAGGGGCGGTGGACGTTGGCAGAGCGGTGGACCGCGAAATGGTCATCTGGCAGCACGCCACAGCGCGCAACATCAGCATAACGCGGCCTTTCAAGATTGCACACCTGTACCCCATCTGGTGCATGTTTGGCGCAATGCTTTGAAGCGCACCAAATTGCCGGATAGTCAAATTGTACACCTGCACGAAAACATGAGAGTAGGGGTATCTCGAGTATGGAACCTCAATCTCTGCAACAATCCATCTGGTTGCCGGCAACCCCAGCTGATATGGCAGCCGCCGCGCCTGGTTTCGCCAGCTCAGCAGCTGTGACCACCACTGGATAGGCTCCCACTCGTTCGGCGTTCTCAGCTTCCAGGTCTCACAAATCTCCTGCATCATGCAGCACATGGAATCGGGCACATGGAAAAAGTGGCGGCAAGCACACAAAGGGCAACAAAATAGACTGTGCATTCCTGCCATCACACCTTGTGCTCCTGGTACTGCTGGCCGGGGCCACCGTGAGTATTAAACTCAACCATGATGCGCCAACTCTCTTGCAGCTCAACGATGCGCTGCGCATGGAGGGTCCTCCCCACAAGAGTTGGTTAACAGGATGGGGGTGTCGCTGCCCGCGTGCATGTCCACCCACAAGCTCCTTGTCGAGTCAACTGCATGCCCATGGGGTCACCTGGAAAGTGTGCAAGACTGGTGCGTATGACCAGGGGTTCCCCTCCGGCATGTTCCACCAGTGCTGCACCGACTGGTGCATTGCCTGAAACCAATGACGCCGAGAGTGAGAGATGCATGCCAGAGACAGAGATGAACATTCAAATGGCCGGCACTGGGCACTAGAGTGGAGGTAGATTCAGGCTGAGAAATGAAGCTAAACACCGCACCTGCTTGCAGATCCTGTCGACATCCACAACCTGGAGCTCCTGTAGATGCATCTGCGCCCGAACAATGGTGGCATCGGCAGTGTCCTCTATCTGTGCCTTCGGAAGCACCATCTGCACCAGCAGACACAAATGAACCGGAGTTCTGACGCTGGAGCTATTGACAATGTCTAAGAACCTTCAGGCATGGGTCGCGCGGCACATGTACACATAGCACTGCTCTGGGATAACTCACCGCCTTGAGGTTCTGCCAATCGTGCAGCTGGACCATTGCATCAATTTGCAGCAGACAGTTGTCGGTGACCTTGGCGTATTCGACTACTGTGTCCCACTGGTTCAACTCGGCACAGCAGGCAAGATACTGCTGGTGCCAGAGCAGCATCTCATTTTTCGTTACCCCTACAGCCAAGAAGCACAAGCTACTGCTTGTTCAGAGGCACCTCAATTTGGGTTGCCTAGCAGCCATGTCAAAACACCTTTGCAGCCAAAAGGCCCTACATGATGACAAACAGGCATCACCTGTACACGGAAACCAGCAAAACATACTCTAGCTAGACACACCTTGGATGCCCCCACTGACGCCCCTTCCCATCAGCTCTAGGAACTGCAGCTGAGCTTGAGCCAGGAAGCCGTGCTGTCGCAGCGCCAAAGCCACCCGCGTATCGTCGGCAGCGGTGCGGCGATGCCACAAACCAAACGCCATATCGTCCTCTGCCAGCGAGCGATAGAGGTGGCAAAGCGCATCAAAGCAGCGCATGTCGGTGGGGAACAACACAACGTGGCCTTCCAGCATAGAGATGGCAATGTGCCAGGCATGCACATGGCGGCCCATATATTTAATCATCTCCGCCGGAATCTTGGGTTGTGGCTGGCTCTGGCTGATGCCTTCCAACAACGTTTGGCCGACTGTGGGGCGCAGCGCCACTGCCTGCCTGGTGTGGTGCTCTTTTGCGAGCAGCTGAATGATAGGTTTTGCCAATGCCGTCTGCAGGGGGAAGGGAGACAGCTCGAGTGCCTTTGTTAGCCAATTGCTGCATGCCAAGCTGATGCACGCATGCAGGCGCTGAAGGATATACCTGCTGCTCCTTCTGCAAGCTGCTCCACACAATGGGGAAGAGAAGAACCCAAAGATGGTGCGCCACAGCGGCGCCATTTTGTACGAGCTCGATGAGGCATGCCACCTGCACCAAATAAGGAACCATTGGCAGCTCAGCGCCAGGCTTCCATGTCTGCCACAGCACGACAAACAGCGCATGGTTGGCAATAAGGGACACCACACTCACCAATGCATCCGATCCGATGCTAGCCTGCTGCTGCATGAAGTCGGCACACTGTTGCAGCAGCCCATGTAGCGCATCGGGGAGCGTTGGAGGTGACAGGCGCTCCTGTGCTGCCCCACTGAGCCTAGTGCTGGCCTTCTGCCTTGCAGACGCTGCCTCTGGGGTGCCGCGATCGGCCCCATTGCCCTGTTCTTCCTGGGATGTTATGGATGGGGAATCCTGTAGGCATTAGCAAGACTACATGTTCAACGTGGCAGTGATGTGGGGGTCTGCAATACGAATGGTTAGCATCACAAAACAGGGTATGCACACCTTTGTTTCAGGCTCGGCATCTGGAAGCAACCTCAAGGGGGTGCCAGTGTCGCCACCAGTACCAAACAAGGATGGCAAATGGGCTGCAGATCCATTGCAACAGAAGAACAAGAGTGGGCGTTGTTGGGACTGTCAACCCTTGTTACTGACTCCATGTTAAAGGAGCATTCATAGCGCAAAGCCCCAATGGTCTCTCGGCTGAGCATTGCCGCACCAGAGTTATATGCAAGGGTAATGCCTTCGGCGAGGTACAAACTATCAAACAGCATGGCCACGCCATGTTTCAACCAGAATGTGTGCGCTATGAAGTCCCAGTCTTGTCCCTGCAACGCACGTGCCAATCACGACAGTTTTGAACAGTGCAAATACAGCCACAGCTGCCCTTAGAGCAGAAAGGTAGCCGCCTCACCTGGATGATGTATCGCAGCCTGTCGAACAAATTTGGTGGTACCCTGTCCGCATACAGCCGAAAAAACTGCAATGGAAAGGGAGTGGTCGCACGTCAATGCTGGGGTGAAGTCCGTCCCACTTCACTCCTACGAGGGCACAAGGCCGGACGGGTTCCAGAACACTAGAACCTGAGTGATATGAGCCCATACACCACTCCTTACTTTTTTCCGGACCGCCGGGTCTGCGCTTTGCAAGCCACAGCAGAAGGTGCGCTCCACTCGATTGAAAACCTCGCTGCCAAAGTCGTCCTCGGTTTTCTGGGTGATTGTGTCATATAGGAGTGCCAGGAAGTCCTTGTCCCACAAGGGCTTCAGGCCAAGGGGTATGGCATGCATGCGGTCCAGCTGCACGATGGAGGCATGGATAATAACTCCGCCCCCTTGGAGACAAAAAAACAGAAGCCTACTCTAGCGCACACAAAGACAGTAGGTTCGGCATCAACAGGATGCCAATTATATGGTTGGCGGAATCAAGGCCACCACCTGTGCAATGCGCTGGATGATGACCAATAGCTCCTTGGCAGTGAGATGCGCGCAGTTGGGGTCCAGCAGCCACTTGCGCAACATTGTGAGAACGAGGTGCAGGATGGAGGGGTCGGTTGTGCCAGCTCGCACTGATTGCCCGGTGATGAGCATGACCAGCGTTGACAAGAAGTGTTTGCGATGGTCGGCTGACAGGGTGAGTGCCGAGGGCACTGCCACTGCATTCAGGAGGGAAGCAAGGAGGGAACAAAGTTGCGAGGGTTGCTAGGAACGTCTTAAACTAGAACGGAACATGTGCAGCACCATTCAGCTGCACTGAGGCCCTCACCGTTCAGCGCATGCCACATGAACCAAGAGCCAGAGCCATGGGCCGCCATTGTGGGCTGCAGTCTGCAGCAAGATGGCCAACAGCGTGTTACTGCTCGTTCTGTCAACATACACACTCGTGTTCATTGCTGGACACGAAGACTCAGTGGCGTAAATGCATGGGCGCACCCAGCAGGCTGATCTGCCTTGGTCGAAAGCAGGCCAAGGGCGGGCGCTTGATTGTGCTCCTTTGCTAAACGGTGCATGGCGCGCAGCAGTGGCCCAATCAAGGGCTTCATGCAATCGGGTTCTGCCTGCAAGGCAAGGCACAAGGTAGGCAATTGATGAGAAGCATTCGATCGCCACGCCACTGCACGCAGTGAATTTGAGTGTTACCTCCATGGTTTCTTGCATGATGACGAGGCAATTGCACCCTGGCGCAAAGGCTTCTACATGCAGGGGCTGGTTCACATCAGACAAGGTCATCAGCACTCTGCGTCAACCGGGAGGGCATAGGGCAATGCTTCTGCTTGCCCCTGCCAGATGGCAGCTTCAGAGCAGCGCTTCAAGCAAAGGCTGTAGGGCCCGGTTCTGTTTCAACCAGTACGTGCCTGTTGATATACTCCTGTAGCCGCAGCTGCAGCTTACTAGCCAAGTCGGTAATGGGAGACTTGGGCTGTTCTGGCGCAGGTGGTGCCGACAGAAATCGACTGCAAAAACATCAGCTAACAATAATCAGGAAGGCAAAACAAAGCCATCTCAGGCTGGGCCATCAAACTGCTAGAATGGCCATACACGACAAAATGTGCCAACTGGGACAAGGACGTGACCATGTGCGATGGCCAGTGCAACAGCTTCACCTCACAAGTCGTCGCATGACTGAGCTTAAGAGCCGGACAGGGGCCGAGCTCGGGCTAACTAGCGCCGGCTCTAGCATGATGGCAAGTTGCATGGCACAGCACTCGATGAATGTCTCTGGCTGGTGCTCCTGCAATGCACACTTTGCACAACAGCGAGAATAAGAACAAGCCGAAGGAATTACAACAACATGCCTGAAGGAAATTCAAGAGACTCTCTCAATGAGGTTGCAGCCCCATGGATGCTGGAGGTTGCTGCCGGGCGCACCATGTAGATGTCGGCAATGTGCAATCCTGTCATCAATGCGGCCACCGGTTCTTGTGATGCTGGCTGCCCTTGGCTCTGTTGCAATGCACCAGCCTGGTGCTGCAGGTTCTGAGCGAGAAACTTTTCAAAGTAGTGAAGCTTGAGGGTGCACGGCTTGCACAACCGAGCTGCAAAACAAACAAAACATGCACGGTTGACATCCAATTATCTGGCAGGGCCGCAGCGGCTCACCGGCTCACATGCTGAGATTGCATGCTACGACCGCAGCTACTTACCAGCATCTGCAATGACGTGCATGCAGTGGGTGTGCAGCTTGCGCCAGCCAGCCTCATCCCTGTCCCGGGGGTCACAGCTGCAGAGGTTCCAGTGCACACGGAGCATTCAAGGCTGCCTCAGGCAATCAACAACAAGTCACACAAGATATAAGGTTCTTCTACTCGTAGCTGGCACCCGCAGTTGCTGGATTCAAGCAGCCCCTTTGCACATACCTGACAAAGGCCATGCGCAGCAAGAAGTTGACAACCATCTCACTCATGCCAGAGGTAAGCCTGGAACCATCCGATCTGCACTAGACCCAGCCAAAGGGCTCACTCAATCACAACTTTTTAGTGCAGCAGGTCGAAACTTGGCCTGGAATTCTTACCTATTTGGCTGCTCTGATTCGGCAGCAGCGTGGGAGGCGGTGCCGGCAGCGGGGTGCAGTGCAAGCATGGAGTGGGTCCTGTCCTGCTCCACATCGCTCTTGCAGTGCAGCCCTGCGTCCTCCCCTCCGGACTGTGCTGCTTCTTGTGCAGCACGATGGTCCCAATAGAATAGCGTAGATGCGATGTCCACCGACAGGAAGCGATTCTCCAGTGTCGAGTTGCCAGGCAAACCCAGGCGAGTGATGACGTTGAGCATGGTTGTCATGAACAGGACCCTGCGTCATGCAAAACATTCTCGAAAAAGGCGTCGTGCACACGAGCAGATGCGGCACAACATCGAGCCGCAGGTGGAAGGGAATGATGCTGTTAGAGCAAGGCCGCAATTGGGTACACAATGGGTGCTCACCGGCTTTGATAGAACATGTCCCTGTTGCGCACAATGACTTGCAGGAGATGCACTAGCGTGATGCTTACGTGCCCATCCTCGCTCAGAACGCGTTTCAGATACCGCGCATAGCTGGGGCTGCCGGTCAGGGGCCCCACACCACTGCCCTGGGCAGCAGCGGCTATGCCAGAGGCAGCCGCCCCCGAGGCTGCACTGTCCTTGGAAACATTCGATTCCCCTGCAGCCTCCAACGATGCAGTGCCGCCCACGGGGCCCGGACCTGGCGCAGAAATGGCTGGCAGCGCCTCGCTGGCAGCTGCCTTGGCCAGGTTGGGAATCATGATGTCAATGCCTTTACGCACAGCCTCCTTCGCAGCCGGGTCGGTGTTCTGTGAAAGCCTGCACAATGCCACATAAACCTGCATGCACACGGAGGCGGAATGCGCTCGCGATGGCCCAACCAGTTTGGCCAGTTCAACTACAGCATTGCTTTTAGGTCAAGTGCAGGGCATCCCCCATCCTGAAAAATGATGCAGCATGCAAACTTAGGGTGCACACGTGCAGTCACCTGTAGCATTATCTTTTCAGGTGTGGGAAAGGCGCGGAAGAAGTGCGACACACATAGGAAGGCAAATGGTTTGGCAATGTTGTCATACTTCAGTGTCCACCTGAAAAATGAAGATGTCAAGACAACAGCCAGCAAAATCCGCATAGCTGCTGATTCATCTTGTGTATAATGACGAACAACGATGTGCCAAAACCCCAGCAAACTCACCAACCAAACTGAATGAGCTCCTTCCTGTGTTCTTGAAACAGGGCGTGTGCATGCTGGATCAGGGTTGTGCACAGCTGTACCAGCTCCATCTGGATCTGCTCGCTGGGACCGCCTGCAAAAGAGCCCAACATGACCATCCCCATTTGCCATGATGCCTTGCCGACAGAGAAACAAAGCCTTGCCCAACTGGTCATGTGGAGCCAGGACATAGAGGTACCCATTTTTCATCTTGCCGCAAGCCCACACCTTTCTCGGGGTTCTGGAAAACATCCATGACAAGGCTGCGCACCACATCAGGTGCAAGCACCTCCAGCTCGTCGTGAGTCACCAACCAAGACACGAGTGGGTTGATCAAATGTCGCAGTACATTCACTGAGGGGATGGGCAATTCGCAGCGGATGTCAACCAGCAGTCAATACACTACTACTCACTCCATTGCACAACATCAGTGTGTCGATACACCCTCAAACAACCTGAATGATCATGGTCCAGCTCCTGCTGGCGGTACATGCTGAGCCAGTGCTTCAATACCTGCAGCGAGGTTGGCCCAAGCAGTGATGTGGGATCACAGCTGGACATCCCATTTGAGGTCACCCACTCGCACCCACCACTTGAGGTGTGCCACTGACCTGGCCCTTCTCGTTCTTGCTGAACTCTTGCGTGAGCACTTGCATGATGAAGGTCTTCAAAAAAGTGAAGTCGACGGCTGCAGGGCAACACACATACCAACCAGAGCAGTTCAGGCGACACCCACCCATTTGTCAGCATGCCATGCCAGAGTGGAAGAGCGGGATGTTGCAACTGGAATGCCGCCCCAGCGTCTCCATACATAGGACGCACCCATAGGGCTGCTGAAGACAACCATCATATCAAAAAGGGCGCCAAAGGTGTCGTGGTGGCGCCCGATGTAGCTGAGCATTGTTTTTGCAAGCCATTTGCTTTCCAATCGCTGTGGCAATGGCAGAAAGGATGCTGAAGCCAGCCTGCATACAATGGGCGAGGCAGCACTCCTGGCAACACCTCAATCAGGGTACTACAGCCATGGCATGGTTCATATGACTGGGCTGAAAAATAAAGCAAATGTAGCCTTCGCGAAAAGAGCGCCGACCTGGCCTTGAATTCAGGGCTGCGCCAACGGTGCAGAGCAATGTTGAACAGTGACTGTGGAGGCCAGCTTGGCAGCAGCTTGGCCATGGTATACATCAGATGAATACAGTTCAGTTGTGAGGCCGCAGCTGCCTCGTGATCTGCACAGGCAATGACAAGTTAACATTCATTAAGAATTGGATTCGCACCGATGGGTGGACTTCGGCTGGCAGGCTTGCACATTGGAGATGAAGGCTGTCACATCGCAGCAGAACCAACCCGACTCTGGCTTTGGGTTGAACACCGCAACCAACTGGTTCTCTGCTTGGGACAGTGCCTTGAGCAATGGCGCGCCCTCTGGCCTCCGCACAATGTCAAGCAGGCGTGCAAAGTAGCAATCATTGGCAAGCCGACTTGGAGCGTCTATAAAGTATGATACGCTGCAACCAGAAGAAACGAGATATGAGAGTAGCAAACGAAACAATGTTCGCCTGCTCTACACAGGCGGCCGACAACAGGAAGCACGGTTGCCATCCACAAGCAAAAACACAAGCACCTGTAACTTGCCTTTCTGTAGGATACTGGTTGAGGAAGCGGATGAGCGGCAACCGGTACGGTGACCACAGTTTGGAGGGAATTACGGCTCCCGGCAGCTTGGGCAGCGACTCCTCCAGGCCAATGGTCAGCACCACAATACCAGGCCGTTCCCCTGTAGTTGATTAGCGAGGCAAACGAAGTGGGTGGGGCCCATAGCCACACAGCACCCAAAAGACGAGACACAAGTGATAAGCCGGCCAACCCAAGTGGCCGTCCTGGTGGCAATGCGCCTCACCATGAGTCTCCAAGAACTTCTTTGCCTGTGATGGGAGCTTGTGAAATATGTCCAACATGCCAGCGGCGACCTCCCATTCTGTGCCTGGGGCCCATGAGACCTGCATGACACAACTTGAAGTGAAAATTGGTGCACAACGCCCTTTCCCTTTACGCACAAGCAAATGTCATTGCCCATGTGCTTGACAAAAATGCATTCCTACCGGCTGCGGAGGCTGTAGAATGTTGCCAACATCAATCCATTTCTTGAGATGCTCTGAAAGCTTGTCCCCCAGGGTGACGTTGAATTGACCAGATAACAAGTCCTGCACCCACATGCACCCGATGCGGATTAAATTTACACCTTCCCAGGCCAAGTACACTTTCCCAGGCCAAGGTGGCTACCGACTGTGAGCCCCATCCACCCAGCATCCCCTCCCGCTCCCTTGACATACGCACCAGCAAGCGATGCAGGTGCCGCAGGAGGCGCAGGTTGATCCGGTTGTAGAAAGCCAGGTCCGTAAGAATGGGCCTGCAGATATCCATAGTTCAAATACATGTAAAGATGCCGTGATCAAGTTTGAACATGCACTGAACATTCAATGAACTGCGCGGCCCATGCATGCACCTCAAAGCCTCCTGCAAGATGGGCTTGGGGAGCATGTTATGCTCAAGAGCCAGCAAGACACCAGACTTGGCCACTTGCACGATTGCATCATGTGCGCTGCCCAGCTCCATGATGAGAACCTGGAGCCAAGGAGACCGAGGCATGAGGTGGGAGAGGGGCAGCACATATGGTGGAGCAGGTTTACCAGGATATCTATTTAAAGCCCCCAAAAGGCTGCATTTGACACAAAACATGCATCACCCATGTGCAGCAACTTGCCTTAAGTAGCCTCTCTCGCAACTTAGCCAACTTGATGGTGCCACCTTCGCCAGCTGCATCTGCGACCTGTGCTCCAGCTCGTGTTGAGATAGAATCAGCATCCCTGCGCTAGAGATGCAGGCAGTCGATGGGTGCTGTCATACATTGTCAAATGTGCAGGGAATCACGAGCTCCCATACACCGCGGTGCTTGGAAGCGCATCCAAAGAACCATGGTGGCCATGCCGCACCACACCTGAAGGCCTGCCACCCAATCGCTGCGGAAAGCACTTGCAGGCAAGCAGTACGAAGGCGAACAATGGCCTCGGTTCGCACTGGCGCCCCTCGGAAACTGGCAGTGGCGCTGATAGCAGCATCACTCATTTCCATGGCAGCGCAGGTGTCAGCAATGTAGACGACAGGCTCAGCACGGAGCGCCACCTCATTGGAGCATGTATACAGTATGAATGCAACACTGTGTGCATGGTTCGCCTGCGGACGCACGTGTTTGCGTTTGCAAAGGTGAAGTAAGTACTATGCATATCCCGGTGGATGGGTGAAGGCAAGTGAGCTGCACCCCACCCCCACCCCCTCATCAGTCACCATTCTACCTGTGCAGTGATACTGCGAATAGGGAGCAGGCGCCTGTCCAGGATGTTATCGGAAGCTTTTGTGATTGGCTTCAAAAGCTCAGCAACTGAAGTGTCCCGACTGGCTGCAATGGCCTGCAAATGCCATGAACAGTGAACCTGGGTGAGCATGAGTAACAACTCCGATTGGGTGAACAGAGCTGAACATACTGCTGTTAGTCAACCCAGCATGATCAGCTATACCTGAAGTCCGCCAGATGCCACAGTCCGTGCTGCCAAACTGCTGCGGCTGCTCAAGAGCTGCTGAACAAATATCTCCATCATCTGCTTCAGCAGTGCAGGCATAGCCTGCTCATCAAGCCTGCTGCTTCCGACTGTTGAATTGGGCGGTATAGGGCTGGTGCAGGGAGAAGCGAGGTCTGCCACCACAGCACTGTCGGTGTCTGGCTGCGAGGGAACACTGCCTTCATGACACTTTTGCACGGGCTGCCGCTGTGTGCCACCCATCGAAGTGCCAGTTGCCCCGCAGCGCTGCAAAGTCAACTGCAGCACGGCGCCCAATTCCTGCTCCTCGATAGAGTGCTCTGGCAAAATGCGCAGCACTGCAAAGACTGCCTTGGCAGCCACTGGTGCCAGGTGTGGCAGGGCAGATGGGGGGAGGCGCGGGACCAGGCGGTTGAGCGCTGCGATGCCCCCCAGGCGGGAGGGCCAGTAACCCCCGTAGCAGCAGTGCACAGCTCGCGCTGCTAGGTCAGTGACAATGGTTCCATAGTGGTCGACCTGCGCGGCATCTGCTCGCAAAGAAAAACTTGCGTGTGGGTATCACAAAAATGGCATCAAATGCCGACAAAGCACTGGCCAGCTTCCCAAATGCCAAAACAAATGTGGGCCACATTGGGGTTCAAGATCACATTATCGGCAGCGCTGTTAAGATACTCGCCTGGGGCTGTTGTCTTGTCCTCCACGTTTGCTGCAGCCAATCTGCTGGCAGGCTGGTCGGGGAAGAGCGCGCTCAAAGACCACACGCCCAAGGTACGCTGTGCAGTAGTTATCACGTCAAGTGCATCCAAGAAAATCGCCAGGCAATTCAGAACCGCACGGCGGTCCTCCTTTCGCGCCAAAGCAAACCCCTGTGAAGCAACCAGCACGGCACATCTGACAGGAGTGCAGCAACAGCGTGTCCCTCTGGCATAAAATGTCAAACAGCTCACCTCTTGGAATGCCTCCAAGATTGCTTGGGGATGCAGATGTTTCAGAGCCGCCACCGTTGCAGGCACACCGTCTAGCACGGGGTAGGAAGTATATTTTGAGGAAGGTGGGAGCACGGGGGGCTGCGCCCGACCCCAACCAGAGGCCAAAAGCAGCGCGAAATGCCGACAGGTGCTGAATGCAAAATCCTCAGCTCCGCTGAGGGTGGACGATGCCATGGTGGTGACGAGCAGGGACACCAGCATCTGTAGATCAAGAGAGCAGAAGAGCAAGAAGTGCAAGACAACCATGAGTGGGGCTGCGCCAACAGAAATGCGACTGCGCCATCAAACGGCACCAGCAATGGGCACGGACAGTGAGGGCCCACTCTGCGCTTCACCTGATGCTCAGCGGTGTGCTGCTTCTTGGTTTTAACCCCAAGCTGTGATGACCAGCCGTCGCCGCCTTCAGTTGGCGGAGCAACCCCTGCACACAACCACCAATGCGGGCAGTGCATTTGCAACAAAATCAGCCTGGGGGGGCAGCGTCCAGCATCGGCAATGTAATCCCCAGCGTAATTCACCTTGCAGTAAGCACTCCTGCAGGGCAGTGAACACTAAGCTGCTTTCCATGGCAGCTGGCTTTGGAAGCCCAGCCTTCATGAGAGTGGACAAGCACACATGGACGAGGCGAACAGCATTCTGCTGCTGATGGGGAGAAGGGGCTGCACAGGTGGGGCGTGGGAGAAAATGAATGAAGGCCCCCCACTGTGAGCGCAAGCTTGTTGCCACCGAGGGCTCAGGCGTGCGACTAATGCAAGCTGCCAGGGACCTACCCTGCTTGATGGCAGCTGCACCAAACTGGACACAGCGATCCAAAGGCACAAGGAATGAGGTACGTGGGGAGAAGGCCAAGATGATGCGTAGACCATACTCTGGGATGGGTTTGTAGTCATTGCTCAGCCCCTCCAACAGCCACTGGCGAGACCTGCCGCCAAGCTTGCCCATGATCTCAGCTACCTGTGGTTGGGGAAAAAGCAGACCAGAATCCCGCAAAACAGGTGAATGTTATGCAGGCTATTAAACCGCGCTTCCTGGAAGAGGCAGGCAGCAGAGACGCATACTTTGGTGCCGTGGGGGTAAGGGTGGGGCTGAATGTGTGCCCACAAAGCCAGCATCAGATCGCGTATGACACCTGCCATGCTGCGCTCAATAAACTCGGGATTGAATGAATCAACCCACAAATCCAAAACCTACAGCAGGGAACCTTGGTTGAATCAATGACCCCCCAGGATGTGCAGGCAGCAAGGTACACTGCTTTAGGGATAGATGCTCAAAAGCACAACACGCTCTTCACCCTCCTGCAGCTGCACCATACCTTCAATGCCACTGCCACGCTTTGGTCTGTGCCCCGAAGCGCACATAGAACGGCATGCATCATGCGTGGCATCGGAGGAATGAGGTGCTCGAGCCGCGCAGGGGTCAACAAGCAAAGCTCTGCCGCCAGCTCCTCCTGCAGGTAGGGTAAGACGTGAGCAAGCCCTTTGTTGGCCCTGCCCCGAGGGCAAGCAATACAGGACTGACATTTTTACTACATACCACCAACACACAGGCAACTGCTGCAGCCGGGCCGAGTACCTGCACTGGTGTTGTGGCTGGCCCACGCAGCAGTTCCAGCGACGCATCCACCAATTTAGCATGCAATCCCGATGCGCCAAAAGCCGCCTGTACGTCCAGAAACTTGCCCAGGGCCATGTTGTAGAACAGTGACCGCAGCAGACGCATGCACACCTGCAAGAGTCCACAACCTGGTAGCACTAGTGTGCAAGAAAGACGCAAATCGAACGGCAGGCACCCCTCTCAGCAGCATGCCTTACAACATGCGATCCGCAAGAAAAAACGACCGCATGCGGTCCGCCATGTAGGCGCACCTCCCGTCGAGTGCCTTCCCAGGAAAGTCCACCCAGCAGGGCTTTGGTGATGTCCAGGATGTGAGGCAGCAGGACACGTTCAGCCACCGGAATGCCCAGCTGCGCAAGCTGCTGTGATTTCTGCAAAATCCAGCGGCTTCAAAGGTCATAGCAATGTGGAGGCAAAGCCAGAACATCAAGAAGGTGTTTCTGGCAACAATCAACCCCACCTGCACATCCAGCAGCTGTAAGCGCGGCAGCATGGCGAAGCACATCTCCATGACTTGAACGACTAGTTGCCCGTGTTTGGCCTCAAGGTCCTGCAACCATGCACCAAGCAATCATTTCAGCCGCTCTATATCATAATGCACAGCTGGTTAGCCGTGCAAACAACACAGCAAAAGCATTGCCCACCTGCAATGCCTCCAATTTCTTTTCTGCTACCAAGAACTGAAGGAGCAGGGCGATCATGTAGCGATTAACGCCAGATCGAGCCGCTGCAAGGAAAACACTGAAACAGGAGCTTGGTGTGCGGGCAGGCTGCTGCTGCACAATTAACTGCATCAGTTTACCATGCACCATGCAAGGTCACCCCCGCAAAACGTAATCGCAGTGTGTGCCCCCCAGGCTTACCTGTATCTCCTTCCACCAGATGTTGGATGGCATGCAAGTAGTAAGAATTGCCGGATGCCATATTAAAGATGAAAGACAGTTTTGGTGACATGACATCCGCAAAATCACGGCCATCCTGGAGGCAGCAGGGAACATGCACATTGCAGGCATGGCCTGAGCTTGGCCTGCGCACAGCTGCCCGAACTCCATCCATCCCACTCACAATGACAAACCCCAACAAACCTGCAAGACGGTGAACAGGTCTGCAAATTGCTCTCGCATGTCGACACTTGGGTGTGGCATGGCCTCATAAAATGCTAAGGCAGGAAGGCCAAATGTGACGAGACGACTGACAATGCGCACGTCACCAGCACGGACACTCCAGGTTTTCACGGGGAAAGATAGCTGCATCACAGGAGAGTTGGTGAGCCATTGAGAAACGTGCCTACCCCGCCGCTATCAAATTGGCTGCGACTAGCGAACAACCGGTTGAAACTGTGTACGTGGAATGAAAAGCCAGAAGGCTATGGCGGGTTGCGCACCGGTGCCTGTAGGCCTCTATTTGTGTGGAATGCCACCATGCAATAGAGCACTGACTTGAGGCAGGAGAACACGGTTTGCAGCAGGCTGCGAAACTCGGACACCTCCTTATCATGTGCTGTTGTTGCCAGCACTGGCAGCACCACGGGAAATGGCTCAGCCTGCAGAGAGGCACACATGCACATGAGCCCGTGCTATGCCTTGCTATCGAAGAAGCAGTTGAATCTGCATACCCGTGGAGGCAATACTGGTGCTGAGGTTTCAGACTTTTGGCCATCCGACTCCTTTGTGTTTTTTGCAGAGTCTGGCTGCTCTGGAACACTGCTGTGACTCGCATCTCTTGGCCCGTCCCTGTAAACAAGTGCAAGGTCCAAAGGACAGAATTGGGGTTACAGGCAAGAAGGGAAATGCGTGGATGCATGCAGGTTAAGGAAAAGGTTGGGCAACTCACTTGATGATGCGCGAGACCTGTGCTCTCAACGACCCCAATTTTCGAACAAAGCATTCGAGTACACTTGACAGTAGGCCGCGATACAACTCTGATGTGCGGACATCAGAGCGGCGCTGAAAAATGGTCTCAATCAGATTGTACAGAAGGCGCAGGCTGGTGCTTTGTAATGCTGCTGGCATTGTGCAGTCATGCGCAATCCTACATTGTTGTGTTGGGGGTGCAAACGTTGTTGTGAATGCTGCTGACCTGAAGCTCCCCTGTTTGCTGCAATGCTCCAGACATCAGCCAGCACACATAATTCCTGACTCATGTTTTCACTCAAACATAACAACAGACAGATAAGAACGTGGAGCTGACCGTACCGAGTGAAGATGTGCACCACCCTGGCCAACTGCTCAAAGCTGAGCTCCGACTTGCAGCTGGCCACCAGCTCAGCCAGTGTTGAGTACGCCAGCGGGCGAAGTCCTTCGACACAAGTTCGGCTGCAAACAATGAAGCAAACCTTGTTTTTTTGTTCATTTTACCGTACTACCTGCAAAATGAATCGTTTGCAAAATGAATCGGTTTGTTGGAACATACCTCGTGCCCAGCAACACTTGCTCATCCAGAAGAACATCCATTTGGTGGTGCAGGCTGCTTCTGCAACGACAATCAATTGGCAAACATGACAAGAATGAAAAAGCCAAGTCTGAACTCGGCTTTTTTTCCTAAACTCAGGGTTGATTATTTCAAAAAATCAAATAACGGAGGCAAACCTGAAGGGTGTCGGCAGGATATTCCGCAGCGCAATCAGGAGTTCCTTACGAGTAGTCAAAACGTTTGGCACTGTCTGCATAACACGCACAATTGCGCTGCAGATCGCATCCTTATGCGGATGCATCAATGGCTGCAGGTTTTGACTCCGGGCAATGACTGTGAGGAAGGCGAGGGATTTGATTTGCGCCATACGGAAGTCGTTGTACAGAGACATCCTGCTTTGTGCGACATCAGCCAGTGAGGGACCAGTTATCGAGGCAACCTGTACCACCCATAGTCCGTAGGAGAAGAATTTGAGAAAGGTCAGTTGCAGACACACAAAACAACGGCGTTGCAATGAATGCCACTATAGTGTTATGAATCAATTGCCAAATTCACCTTGACCATGAGAGGAAGAAGAGAGCCAGCATGCTCTTGCAGACGTCGGGGGTAGCACTGAAAAAGAAACACGATCATGAGAGCCACCTCTGATGCCAGCTTGAAAGACCGATCTGCTGGTATGCGTGTTGATTCTCTACCAGCCTCCAGGCTGCTCAAATACTCCTGGGGAAGGTTGCTGTACAACTGCAACATAACAAATCAATCGTGAGTAGTATCCAGAATGGAAAATCAAATGAAGATACCAGCGTATAACTGTAAAATGGGGACCACCCTCACCTGTTCAAGCCAGTTGAAGAAAGGCTTGCTTTGCTCTTCAAGAGCCTGCTTGTAGGTCTTGTGAACTTCAAACAATATGCGTTGTGATATCATGCCATTTTCTTCGCAGTCGAATGCCAGGATGTTATGACAAGAAGACATGAGGCCTGGGATGAGCTGTCGAGGCAAATCAGCAACCTGCAATACAAATTCATTTCACGTTTTCTTACCCATTCCGTATTACGCGCTTGCAATTGGACCTATCACTAGATACATACCACAAGACGCCCAAGCAACTCGATAGCTGTGTTCCTAAGTTTACTCTCAGGACCATTTGTGATCTGGTCCAACTGGGGAGGCACAGCTGTTAACAACTGCAAATCAACAATTACGTTGTTAATTGTAATATCAACAATTACGTTGTTAATTGTAATATCAACAATTACGTTGTTAATTGTAATATCAACAATTACGTTGTTAATTGTAATAAACAAACACGTTGTAAATGTAATCGCGAAAGTTTGGTTGAACTGCACATGGTCTTACCTCGCACAACGCGGGCAAAACCAGCGTCACGTGCGATTGGCTCAGTTGGCTTGCAACAAGAGTGTCGAAACGTTCCTTCAAAACAGAAAGTATCTCGACGCGGCGAAAGAGAGGTGTATCACGCGCCGCGAGGTCATCAAGGTTCAGCTGGCGACTGAGCGACTCGGAATCGCGGGATTCCATGATGCATCCGATCGCTCGAGCGAATGAATGCAGCTGCGACAGGGCGAAGAGGATTCAACGTGTCGCACCGCGGTACATATGCTGCGTACCGGCAGTCTCTTTGCGCCTCATTGGTGAGACGGTTCCCCCCCGTGTGTGCGGAAACATGATCGGCACAACCGGGGCTGGTACCCCCGTTTCCTCCCAGCACGAATTACGCATCGCGCGGTCCGCGTATTCTCTTCTTTTTCTTCGGCGCGTGGATTCTTTGGAGGGAAATTGCGCAGCGCCGCGAGTGCGACCTGCCTGCTCGTAAATGCCATGTGCGCTCAGTTGCAGTATCTCCCCAAGTTCGGGCCTTGTTACGAGCACAGCAGTAACTGCTCTCCGCCAGTGCATGTTGAACACCAGCGCACCAAGCGGGTGATGAGTGAAATCATAGCAGCCAACGGCACAGCAAGCAGCACATCGGGCGGGGCGGGGCGGGGCGCGTCGCGGCATTCTTGAACGGGTGCATCAAAGAGGCAGGCGAGGCGTCGCCTCCCGTTGCTGTGTCAGCGGTTCCAAGGGCCGCATCTACATTACGCCCGCGGCGGTGTCGCCGGCCGCGGGTTCATGGCATACATGTACTTGTGCTTCTTTTCTGCCGGCTTCAGAATCTGCGCCAAACCAGACATGATAATGCAGCTAAGTAGGCTAGCTTTGACATCAAGCATCTTCTTCCAATGCTCACCTGGAATGAACACATGAGCGTGTCGTCCACACTCATCATGGCGCCAGCATTATCGAACTCCCCACAATAGTTAGGAGCGCTGAAAATTGTGACCAGCTGGCGCCGGGCAAAGAACTCGTACCCCTCCTCCACAACCTGCTTGCATGAGTCACTTGCACAACTTCCATTGCCATGGTCTGATGAGAAATCACCGACAGATATGTCGGTCGAATAACCCAGGCAATCACCTGGTGCGCACGGCAGATCAGATCTAGGTCATGCTTCTGCAGAAACTCTGTGACACTGTCGGGCCCAAATGTATAGCTCACACCGCGGTCATTTTCTCCCCATCCCTGCATAAAGAGAGGCACTGCATAGAGTTTGGGGTGGCAGACCATGCATTCTTTCTCCTCTGGCACGAGTTGCACTGGCCTGCACATCCTTGTCCGGGTCAGCCCACAGTAGGTCGCACAGCAGCCCGGTGTCTGGCACATCTGTCGGACGCGGGATCCGCTTGATCTGCTCCAATGACTTGAGCTCCGGGGACAGGCCGCCATGCATGCACAAGATCTGCGCCATCGGGGCATCGCTGGTGCATTGGCTTGCAGTGGAGCACCAGGCAGGCTGCGCACATTTCCTCTCAGATGCCGGCGGCGGCCAGAGGGTGCCCCTAGCGCACCTTTTCATCTACCAGCGCAGCCACAGGCAGGCAGTTGAAACAGTCTGTGAATGTCTTCCAGAGCCTGATGTTGTACCGCCGCTTGCACTCATCATAAAAGCCGTAAATCCTGTTGATGGATGCGCACTCATGGTTGCCGCGCAGCAGGAAGAAGTTTTCGGGGTACTTGATCTGCAGGCGCAAGCGCATGTGGTGTAATAAATGGTGCGTAGTTGAGCTCAGCACCAACTCAGCAGCAGCAGGGGAGGAGGGCAAAGCAGTTGTGAGGAAGGAAAAGGTGGATGGACGGATGGGTCAAAGGTTGCAGGCATGCAAATCTGCCACACCGCTTCTTCCCCCTTGTGATGCACCGCGCAAAAGCGGCCAGCACCGCAAGCACTGGCCCGACATAATTTGTCCCCCTCAACCTTGTAAGCCAGCAGAAGGCAGATGGTCTCCAAGCTCTGCTTGCCCCGGTCCACATAGTCGCCCAGGAACAGGTAGTTGGCTTCAGGGGGGAAGCCGCCATATTCAAACAGCCGCAGGAGGTCAGAGTACTGGCCATGAATGTCGCCTGCAGTGCGCATGCAGGGCACCGGGTGGTCGGTGCCGCACCTGCACAGGTGCGCCTGGGCTGACAGCCTTGGCTCCAGTATAGTATACCAGAGCCAGGCTGTGCAGTGCATACACGTATGGGGCAGGGTCTGTCGAGCATGCCAGATCTTACCGCAGATTTTTATAGGCGCCTCCAGCTCCAGCAGGTTGGGCTGGCTCATAAAAATCTCCTTGGCTGTGAGGCACAGCTGCCGGATCTGCACTCGAGGGCATAGAGGCTATGCTCTGCTTTGGGCACAACAGCGAAGCCAACGAGAGGGGAGCGCCAGTCGTGTGCGCCGCCAGGGCCGGGGCCGAACACACCTCGGTTTCCGACAGTGCCACCTGCTTGCCCGGCCGCCCTGTCCGCACATCCAACAGGCGGTCAATGATGTCTTCAATGAGGGCATCGTCCTGCACGATCCCAAGCACAACATGCCATGCGACAGATGATCCAGGGAGAGGGCTGCTGCTGAGAAACCATGAGTGGCGCCAAAAACCGTTCGACGGCTGGGTCCCACCAGCGGCGGCCGGCCAGGCCGCAAGCGCAATTTGCGCCGGGTACAAGTGCAGGTGTTGGGGATTAAGGCAGAGCAACGCCAAGAGGCAACAGCGACAAGTCGGCCAAAGCGCCGAATGCTTGCCAAGCGCGGGCCACCAAGCGTAGGAGGGGTGGATGCGATCGGCGGCGAAAAGGTGAGGCTCCCATCCTTGAGGCTGAGGCTCGGCAGGCCTCAAGGATGTGTGCAGCGAAAGACTTACCATCTCTCGACCCCGCCAGCCCGGGGCTGCGCGTTCTTCTCTGCGGGAACTTTGGGGGGAGCAAACAGGAGCAGCAGAACAAGAAGAAGAGAATACGCGAGAGCGTGATTTGTACTTCGGCCGTACTGGGAGGAAACGGGGGTTCAAGCCCCTGGCTCCCGTGTGCATCATGGAACATGGAGAATGTGGTCGCGCTGGAATCGGGTACACTTCAGTGCACTGTCCGCCACCCGGCATATTGTAATATGAATTACTTGCTGAGGCTTTGGCACCAGCATCAGTGGCAAACGCCAGGCTCTCAGGTCTCCCGTTCCCGCAAAGACATCGTTGGGTCTGAAGCTGAGAGCGACAAACAGGACGGCGCAGCAGCAGCGCCGGCGCAAAACGGCTGAGATCTCCTGCGGCGCTGGTGACTGGCTCACCCTTGCCCTGTGTTGAGGAAGCTACAATCCAGATCGCAACATTTGGGGGCTAGCCCGGCTTCAAGCCAACAAAAGCCGCTCCAGTGACAGTGGGCAAAGCTCCGTCGCCGTGGCCAGCAAGTGCGATGCCGTGCTTTGGAAGCCTGCCGCCACCGCACTGTCTGCTGTGTGCCAGGGCCGGACTTGCAGTACGTCACATTCCAACGGCGCAGCACGAGCCAGAGCTGTGCTGCGCTGAGGAGAGCTACCACCAGCAGCAGGAGGCGGCAGCGACGGAACACAGGCTGCAAACTGCTGCATCTCGTTCAACACCACGAGCGTGCTCTCAACCGCGTCCTGCAGCGCGGACAAGGGGGAGACAGCTCCACACGGAGGGTCACTACAATTGGGCAGCCCATGCCAGGGAGCACACAGCAGAGCGACGCACATGACCGCGCAGCTTTGCGGCGTCCATGAACTGTGCGCCTTGAGATTGCAGGCCGCGGAGCAGTCCCACACCCTCGTCAGCTGGCCCATGGGCATCAAAAAAGGCCAGCCTGCCCCCGAGGGTGCTTATTGCAAGTCGCGCCGAGGTGGCATCTGCCGCCAGCAGGTTGTTGGGCAGCGCACAGGCCCAACTCAAGCTGCCATTCAGCAAGCTGTAGACAGCGACGCCGGAGCCCCATTGCACAGCCTGCATCAACATATTTTGATGGAGCGCAGTTGGCACAATGCAACAGATCCACGGTTGATGGGGCAGCGAGGTATCCAAGAGTAGGTGCTGGTAACCCACTCACTCCCTATGCGCTGCCCATCCCCCATGCGCTTACCAGATGGACTCCATCCGCCAGAAAAGCAAGGCGTTGGAGTGGCACTGCACTGCCATCTTCTGAACACGGTGGCAACGCTGATAAGGTCTGTCGTGATGCAGGGTTAACAAGCAAAACTGCAGCAGGTGACTGATACACACCGTTAGCGGCGATGCTCTGGACGCTGTGCCCGTTGCTCGATTCACGACAGCTCACCTGGGCAGCCTGCTGTTGAGCCGACTGCAAGAACTGTGCCATCTGGGCTGAAGGCCAGAACTTTTGCAGCACCGCCTGCAAGCGTGTCGAAACACGAAAAGCAGTTGCAGAGCAGAACAGAGGTGACACAAAGGCAAGCACGGCAGCAGTCACCTTGCAGGATTTGAATGTGAGATGGGACCCACATTTGCACGGCTTGCAGAGTCTGCAGCTCCAACAAGAAGACACCGCCACACCCTGCAGATAAGCTCATGATCGTGGCTTAAACACCATTCCAGGCCGTGCTCGTCGTCCATGGCCAGCAAACTGTACTCGACTTACCCAGCACCGCAGCCACAAGTGGGCGCTGCGGATGCATGGCGAGTGCACTGACAGAGTCCTGGATGCTGCAAGTTTCATGGGCGGCAGGGCATGGCAAATTGGACTACATGCTTACGCTACCCTTCAGCAGCATTGCTACAGGCTAAGGTGCCGTAGAACACGCAGTCTCCGTGCCGCACCTACAAGGGTTGCCCCTGCCATCAGCCGGAGAATAGGCATGCTTGGACAGTGGCAGCTGCAAATCAAGCACGGGTCAAGTGAGGTGTCGGTTGTCAAGTGAGGTGCCCAACTGGTGGGGTTTGGGGGGGGACACATGAAAGGTCGCACAAGCAGGGACCAACCAATGTGCACCTGGCTACGACTCCACAACTTGAACATCGATGCTGCTCCTCGCGCAGCATCAAGGGACTGCTCCACAGTGACGAGCATCTGAACATACAAATGGGCTGGACTTGTTGCCACGAAACAGACACAAGCAGATGCAGCAGATGCACACATTCATCCGTCAGAGCAACCGTTTCAGAGACTGTCTTGTCGAACTGGCACCAAACTTAGGTGTGCTTGCCTCTCCATCTATGCTGAATATGACGTGGCTGGGAGCCGGGAGGTCTGATGCAGGTGCTCCAGCACCTGCACTGGCTCGACGGGAGAGCTGCAGACGAACAATGTGGGCATTCCTGCAGCATAGGAAGCCCAGCCACCTTGAACTGGATACCTCCAGAACTGATTGGTACACAACGCTGGTGCTGTTGCTATGTGTGATCACAATGCATGCAGGCCTGGTCGGTAGAAAAGCATTTCCCACCTGATGGGGTCAAAGAACTGCAGGGATGCTCCCCGAGCAAAAGCAAGGATCCCTGTGTCCGGCTGTATCACCATGGAGCTATCGATGGGCGCACGGGGGTCGTAGCAGATGCCGCGCACACAACACTGAACATGTAGTGCAGCCAAATCCACCTGCCCAACACGGAGTTCAATGCAACACGGAGTTCCAAAGCAACAATGTGAAATTGGCAGGCAATCAAGCGGCCTCACCACTCGAACAGCGTTGTCCTCCACACTGACTGCCACGCGAGCGGGGGTGCTGAGGCACGCGGTAACATGGCACAGGCAGCTGCCTGCAGAGAAGCATGACAACACCCGTCAACAAACGAGATGGGGCTGGGCTGGGCTGGGATCGCAACCCCAAGCACCCTCACGCACCAAGGCGGGGTAGGTATGTTCGCCTGCCACTCGGCATGTCCCAAACCACTAGAACACCCTCGCACCCGCCTGCAGCAATGCAAGTGCTCGGCGTGAAATTGTTGGCCCGGCCCCAGTTGCAGACGGACGATGAATGCTCCACCTGACAGCAAAAATGCATCGTCTGAGGAGAAGGCGAGGCAGCGCAAGGGTCCCGCATGCCAATGAACTGTTGTTTGCGGTGGCAGGGCACTGCCAGCATCTGTGTGCTGTGCGACGTTGGTGGTCATGCTGCCTGGCGGTGTGGTTTGCAGGGCACTGCGGATGCCACGCCAGAAAACTATGCGACCCGTTGCATCGCCAACAGCCAGGGTGTCTCCATTCGTCCTGCGAGGAGCGATAAAGCGCACTTTAGTGGGCGCACCAAGGGGCTGCTGGCCGCCATGGGCTTGCTGCTGGTGCTCACGATAAGGCAGCACACGTCAGGGGCTTGGTATGCGTCAACACAAGGGGCTCATGCGGGAAGCTGGCCGCCCGCCAGACCATGGCAGTGTGCCGATCAATGGTTGCCAAAAGCTGACCACAAGCTGATGCCTGCAGTGGACACAATTGGACAGGTGCAGGTATGCGGGCTAAGTCTACCCGTCGCACGCCCCACGGCAGCATGCTAGTAGTAGTAATCGCTACCACATGCCGAGCATGGCACGTGGCCCAAGCGGAGCAGCAGGCCGCAGGCAGGGTCACCCACCACCAGTGGCCTGGCTGCCGCCAGCTTGACACGACCGCCAGCAGCAGCAGCCTTGGCCAAGTCGTACGCCAACAGGCGGCCCGCCTGCTGCTCCCGCCAGTGACAGCTGACATAGGCTGCAGTCATTCGGTGGTACATGCAGCATCATAAAACCGCACGAACTACGCGCTATAAAGTGGGACAGGGGATCGCGCCGGCCGGTGGGGTGCCTCTGCGTTGCAGAGGCGCGCACCTGAGTCGCCCACGACAACCAAGCTTTCTATGGGCATGTCCAGGCTCCACCGTTGCACCGCCATGCCAGTTTCAAGCTCCCACAGAGTGATGCTGCCCTCCTGGGTGCCCGAGTAGAGGCGGGAGGGGTCCGGGTGGAGGCACAGGCAGGTCACCAACGCGTCGTGCTCCAGCTTGTAGACCGGCTCCCCGGTGGCCGAGGAGAACGCCAGGACGCTGGAGGCGCAAGGCACAAACAATAGTTCGCCATCCCGTGATAGGACGGGCGGCCGCAGCAGCGAGCCTCCTCCCTGCACCCACATGTCACAGCTAGCTTTGCACCAATGCATGCATGCCAATGCATGCATTGTTGTACATGCATCCCACGTACAGTAAGTACGCATGCTGCCTGAACAGCACCTCACAGTCGCGCGCCTCGTGCTTCCCTGAGCAGTCAGCACCTCACAGTGCGTTCCACAGTGCCCCGCACCGAGTGTCGCCGTCCCCCGCCCTGTGGCTCAGCCCCTGCACCGCCTCCGCCTGAGCACAGCCGCCACCCTGCGCCACTCGAAGACGCGTGGGTAAATGGAATCGGAATCGGTCATCAAGCCGCAGTCGGCAACGCCCCCCCTTGACACCTCCAGCTGGCCACTTCTCCTCAAGAACTACAGCCAGCTCAACGTGCGCTCGGGACACTACACCCCCATCCCTAGCGGCCACACCCCGCTGCGGCGCCCGCTCCAGGTGTGGGGTGCTCTGCTTGCGACGCCTGCACCAAGGTGCAGTGGCGCGGCATGTTTGGCTTGTGGCGCAGGCTGAGTTATAACTCCACACAGCCCACCCGCTGCGCTGCGTACGGGCATGTAGGATGCCAGCTTGCGGGAGCTGTGCACCCATGTGGGCTTGAGGCAGCGCCTCAGCCCACGTGAAATCGGACCCAACTGCTCCTGCACCGCAGGAGTATGTGCGGTATGGTGTCATCAACCTGGACAAACCGTCCAACCCCTCCTCGCATGAGGTCGTGGCGTGGATCAAGCGCATCCTGCGGGTGGAGAAGACCGGGCACTCTGGCACGCTGGACCCCAAGGTGGGAGAACGCAGCCATGCTGTAATCCCTTTGCATCGAGCCGCACAGTTGGTGCTGAAACCAGGAGGGCGAATACAAGCCCAGAAAAGAAAGAAAGGGAATAAACATCAATTGGAAAGGGCTGCTTGCATCCAGAGGCTGCCCGCCTCCGTGCAGCACGAGCCTGCATGTCGGTGCACGCCCCCTGCCCCGGATTCGACTGGTGATGTGCCCATGCCTGCTTTGGCAGGTGACGGGCAATCTCATTGTCTGTGTTGACCGCGCGACCCGCCTGGTGAAGAGCCAGCAAGGTGCTGGCAAGGAGTATGTGGCCGTGGCCCGGCTACATTCCAAGGTGAGCAGTTGCCGGCACCCCCACCCTCAAGCTGGGCCTCCCGTCTTGTGTGCTTGCAGTGAGCATGCACCCCTTGTGGTGGTGGCCGTCAAGTGTGCATCCCCTATGCTCACTTGATGCAGGTGGAAGGTGGCGCTGCCAAGGTTGCACGCGCTATAGAGACCCTCACTGGCGCTCTGTTCCAGCGGCCCCCGCTAATTTCGGCGGTGAAGCGCCAGCTGCGCATCAGGCAGGGCATGGTGGCAGGAGACGAGACGTTCCTGCTTTCCTGTGGCACAGGGGTGTGGGCAGGGGGTGGAGTGTGTGGGGGGCAAGCCTGGCACTGAGGCAGCAAGCTTGCCGCATTGATGCATCGCCAGTGCGTCATTTTTCATCCAAATAGCTGCCAACTCTGGGTGTGCAGGACTATTTACCAGAGCAAGTTGATCGAATATGATGATGAGCGCAACCTGGTAGTGTTTTGGGTTAGGTAAGGATGGATCAATCTAATATGTTCAGCCTAAGCTAGGGGGACCAAGTGCTTCAAACGCCCTGCCACCCTCCTGTCATTGCCACACCTCAACTACTGTATTTCTCCTGCTCCTGCTGCAGCTGTGAAGCGGGCACCTACGTGCGCACGCTTTGTGTTCACCTGGGCCTGTTGTTGGGCGTAGGAGGCCACATGCAGGTGTGGCTTGCGGTGTGCATCATGCCATTGCTGGCCCAGGAGTGCCTTTCACCAACATATGTGTTGGTGCCACACCATTTGCACACTCCTTTGTGCTGCTTTCAGGAGCTGCGGCGTGTACGGAGCGGCATCATGGGCGAAAAGGACAACATGATCACGATGCACGATGTGCTTGATGCGCAGGTAGGGACAGCATCAGTGCAGACCAGGGTTTACTACCCTTGTCTGTGCCAGTGTTACCAAACGTGTCATTCTGTGGGCATTTCCATCCCACACAGTGGACCTTCGACAACTTGAATGATGAGGCCTACCTTCGCCGGGTAGTCATGCCGCTCGAGGTGTGCCATGCGCTGGGACCAGGCTCCGGTGTGCATTGGTTTCAGCCCAGCGGGGGCTCTGCCAAGCAGTAAAGCCAAAGCCGCTTACATCTGCAAGTGACCAGAGAATGTGTTTCTCATTGCTGTGTCGCCGCATTTGCTGTTTGCAGACGCTGTTGACAAACTACAAGCGGATTGTTGTGAAGGACAGTGCAGTGAATGCGCTGTGCTATGGCGCCAAGCTCATGATCCCTGGCCTGCTGCGCTATGAAAGTGGTAAGCACAGCACTATGCCATTCGTGGCCCACAGTCTTGCAACGGCTGACTCAGAGAACATCATCCGTGCAGGCATCGAGGTGGATGAGGAGGTGGTGCTGATGACCACCAAGGGGGAAGCCATTGCTGTTGCTGTCGCCCAGGTGTGCCCATTGGTTTGTTCATGTCTGCCGCTGACAGATGGAGTGCTGTTGGGGGCCATGTGCCGATCAGTTGAGGTGTCGAGTGTGGAGTGGGATGCGTGCCTGCAGATGACAACCAGCATCATGGCCACCTGCGACCACGGCTGCGTCGCGAAGGTGAAGCGGGTGATTATGGAGCGCGACACATACCCGCGCAGGTTTGTTGTGGTACAGGAGCAGCACAACCTGCCGTCCCAAAAGGTCTGCTGCCGTCCCGGGCAGTGCCGGATGCCGGTTGTTGTTTTAAACACTGTATATTTGCTGTCTTGTTGTTCAGGTGGGGCCTTGGGCCAATGGCCCAAAAAAAGAAACAACTTGTTGCTGCTGGGCAGCTGGACAAGTATGGCCGCCCGAACGAGGTCACCCCCAAGGTGCGCTGCCCCCAGCCAAAATCTGACGTGTTGTCGCTCTTTGTCGAATGCTTTTATGGTAGTTTTACTTGTTGCACGTGCCTGATTCTGCTTCACAGGAGTACTTGCGAGCGCTAGGCGAACCCGATGGGAAGGCTGCGCAGGGCGGACAGGTGCTTGAGGAGGACCGAGGCGAGCAGGTGATAACGCCAACTGTGTTGGGGACCTTTTGTATTCGTTTGGCCACTGTGGCAGGGATCAATTCCTTGTGAAGCAGCTTCACAAAATGGGGATGCAGAAACATGACCATGAAGATAGCAAGCAAAAGGTGGAGAAGAAGAAAAAGAAGAAGCGTGAGCGGGAGGCGGAAGAGAAGAGTGGAGAGGAGAAGAAGATGAAGAAGAAGAAGTAATTGGTGTGCCAAAGGTGGCTGCTGCCATTTCACTCGCTACCAGCGCTACTCTCCTCTTCGGCGTCAGCCAGCCAGCCCAGCAAGTCGGTGCACAGCTCCACAAAGCGGCGATCCTCCTTTGCACCATTTTCCTTTTCATTCGCCCAATCCAGGATTGCTTCCTCACAGAGCAGGTCGTGGTCATAGCAAAGCTTGACCACCTGCGCAAAGTTATTGCCGCAAGCAACATGTGTGATGCGTGGGACACAACACAGGGGGACAATCTGACATTGCGCCCACGCAAGAGCTCTACCTGTGGAAACAACGCTGCAAAGACAGAGCCCCGGTCACTGGCGGTAAAGTCGCCTTCCTCGGCACAATATTCTTCAAAGGTGAGCAGGAGCTCCACCTGCACAAGGCATGCATTGTCCACATGAGTAAACAATCGCAGACGGCTGTAGGAGCGCCGATCTGGGAAGCATCCAGCCCGATGCAACCTTTGCCGTGCTGTTTGAAAACGCTACCTGATCATCATTGGATTTCAGAAACCTACGCAGGAGGTCTTTCCAGGCCTTCAGTTGTGCATTCAGCCTACGCAACAGCTCCAGACGTCCCTCATTGCTCTGCAGCTCTACTTGGGCTTGGGGGAAAAGCGTGCCATACTCGGGCTTGAATGCCGCGCTGGGGGGTAGGCAGAGGCTGAGCATGGTGGTAAATATGTACCTGCGTCTCGCAGCAAGTGGAGGTTTGAATCATCTAGATGTACAATGGGCGGAATGGAGGAGGAAGGGGGAGCGGCACAAGACTGCAGTCAGAAAAGAAGGGTTGGTAGGCATCAGCATCACCTCGCACAGTCAGCAAAGGTGCGATCCTCAGCAATCTTCAAGCCGTTGAGTTCAATGACGGCGTTGTCGTGGCTGATGCGCTCTTTGATGCACCGCAAAAATGTCTCCGCCACCTCATGTTTAAACTGATCTGCTGCGGCTACCTGCAACCCCTGCCCATCACATCGCTCGTCCGCCGCCAACGTGTCCTACAGGAACACGATGGAGCAACAATCAGGGCATGGCACCTACAGGCTAGGCCGGTCAAGGAGAGTCCCCACCAGAGGGGTAGCCATCCTACCCCACCACCCCACCGGCGTCGAGTAAGAAGAAAACAGAGGCTGGAGATGGAAGAGGGGCACACAACATGTCAAGCGATGCGGAGCTCCTTGCCTTTGTGAACTCTCCGGCCTCACTGTCACACTCCGAATGTGTCCGCTGGAAGCCGCCTGGAAATGGGATGTCCTCCGTTGCAGGCCATGCCCCATCGCCTGGGTGGAGCCAGATGAAGCCCGCACCAAAAGGCCCCACCACAGCCTCGTCAAAGTTGACAGCAGCTTCAGGAATGCCACCAGCCCCCAGAGCAACAGCTGCTGCTTCGATTGCTCCGATTTTATCAGATTCTGCGACATACCATGGGGCACACTGCTGGTAGGTTCTTGCAGTTGCAGGATTGAACACGGCTGGCACTATGCCACCCAGACGCAAACCTGCATCAGCCCATTCCATTTCATCTTCGCTATCTGCACAGCTCGGGCTGCATGGCCGTATGAGCGAGACACACACCCCAGCAGGCACACACTGCGCCGTGTCTACTACGGTGTGCCTTGCTAGTAATGCGCCAGTCTGCAGACACACATGGTGCACGCCTTGACACAGGCAGACGGCTTTAGGGCCGTGCTTCCTGAAGACAGCAGCTGCCTACCTCTATGCGAGTATGGCTGCGCACAACAGCATGCTCAGCCAAAAGGGAAAATGACAGGCTGCAGCTGTCATCAACTCGAGCATGTGCATGCAGGATGGAGCCCTCCAGAGTGGTTGCGCTCCCGATGTGGCTGTCGCTGCCAACAATGGAGCGGTCGAGGCGTGCGCCAGCATCCACAGAGCTCCCACGGCCAACAAGGGAGCCTTTTGAGATGTGGCTGGTAGGGGCTACGGATGCTGATGCATCGCTGCATAGCAGGCATGTGGGGGCATCTGATCTGCCAAGAAATGTGCCGCTTCCGAAGTAGGCAACAAAAAAGCGACAAAGCGCAGCTTACATGTAAAAGCCACGGTTGAATCTGCATAAATCCTGCTGGTTGCCGCTGTTGTCAGGCACCCATGGATACGTCCAGCGGCCCACTACATCCTCAACAATCCCAACATAGCCAGGACGGTTGCCGACGCGCTCTGCATACCCCTGCATTGCAGGCGTGACAGCGATTGTCAAAGGCGGTGCGGGTGCCTACTTCCTGATGCAGGAACAGAAACCCACACTGGGTAGGGTCCCCGACCGCACCCTGGCCAGTTCGTGGACGTAGAGTGTGCTGCCCAGCTCTTGTTCCGACAGCACACCCGGCACCAAGTCGCCCGCAATGCTCTGATAGTCGAAATTGTCGCTGAGCAGGACCAGGGCCTCTGGGGCGCAGATGTAGACATGGGAGAGACGCAGGCCGGACCGCACCTGTCGGCAGCACGGGGAGGGGTCGCAAATGCTGATCTTTGTGAGTGGGCATAGGTGCAAATGCCGCAGCGACCAGCATTGCCCGACATGGGCACTTGTGCCAGGCAGCCCCAGGGCCGAGGCTGCCAGACGCACCACGACGACGTCACGCTCGCCAAACACGTGCGTGCCCATGTTGGCAGTGTGCACCGCCCGGTTGCCATGCTCCAGCTTGAGCAGCTGATGGCTGCAAGGGTCTGCCACCACCAGGCAGTCATCCAAGTACGGTGCAGACGTGTCGCTGGCCAAACAACCCTGGTGCAGCAGCAGCGTCATGACGGCCTGGCGGTCGATGCCGCGCCTGACCACGTGCGCCTGCACCGCCGGCCGCAGGTCCACGTTGCCCACCACGCTGCCGCTGACCAGCACAAAATCGCCCTTGACAACATCCTTCTCTTCTACAAAGCGAAGCGCCTCTCCCTCTGACAGGCAGCCAGGGGCGGCGAGCACGTGCACCGCCATGCCGCCACGGGAGCACCCCACCCAACCCGCCTGCTTCAGGTAGGCGGCAAGGGCAGCCTCCGAGGCGGGGGCTGTCACCAGGTGCACCTGCGAGCAACAGAGGCGTGAAGGGTCACAAAGGGTGCAGGAGGGACATCGTCATCAGGGAGCCGCGCTGAGCACCTCGTTGATTGCCGATCGCTCCAGCCATCGCAAGGTCAGCTCAACAGCGAGCTGCTGACCCAGAGGCAAGGCCCATGGACCCCCGACTCCGAGAGGTTTCAACCAGTCCTCGTGGTCGATCAGCAAAATAATCGCCTGCATATTTGTGACGCAGGATATCTGTTGCTGTGGCGAAAGATCGCGCGTGGCAGCCAGTGTCCTGCTGTCCTGCGGCCAACCTGCTGCTCTGCTCATGGGCACGGCTAAAGCCCTCGTTTAGGACGCATTCCCAGCGCCCGAAGAACCATGACTGCCTCAGCCGAAGACCTCCCCGAGTATGAAAGCCAGCTGGAGGAAGTGAGCAAACTGCTCCTGGACGACCCACACAACGACGAGCTTCAAGCCATCTACGACGACCTGACGGAGGCATGATTGCAGGCTGCTGCGCTAGCTGCTGCCGCTGACCGCCGCCAGCCGCAGCGGCCCAGGCCCCTGCCGCCACCAAGACCCCGCGGGCCCGGTTCTGTGCAGGTCATTCAGCTCACGCGAGAGCTGCACCAAGGGCAGCCCCCCTCTGATACCGAACCAGCAGCGGCGCGCAAGCAGCAGCAAGGGCTTCTAGCGGCGCCATCGGCCGCGGCAACACAACCCGCCACGGCCAATGCTGCTGCCCCTCCTGGAGCGGCGAACGGTGGTGCGCTGGGCCCCGCCGTATCGCCGCTCCTGCCGCCGCAGGTGGCTGAGCAGATTCGCCATGCCCAGCAGCGCGCAGCACTTGCTGGCCAGGGACCTGCAGACTGGGCTATTGGGGCCAAATGTCGTGCGGTGTACAGCGGCGATGGAAACTGGTGCGCCTATGCTGGCTGCGGGGGTCATGGGGCAGCCGGTGCCTTCAAGGCTTGCCGTGCTGCATTTCGCCTTGCCCACGCCGCGAGGGATGGCTATGCAGGTACAACGCAGTGGTGGAAGGAGCGACATGCGGCGGCAACTTCCTTGTGGTGTTTGATGGGTACGGCAGCAGGGAGGAGGTGGGCAGAGATGCTGTGCAATTGCGCGCCGCAGAGGACGATGGCGGGTACAAGGGTGAGTGGGGGTGGACACCAGGGTTGGTGGTGCGCCTCTGGCATGAGAAGCGCCTTATGATACTCGTGGCGCGTGGGGTGGATGATTTGTTCGCATCAGGGTTTCCGACTTTGCTTTGTGGCATGCGCAGGTGTGGCTGCTCCAAAGCGCCGTCGCGTGGACGACAGTGCTGAGGTGCAAGAGATGCCCAAGTGGCTGGAGATCAAGGCCACGGACGATGAAAAGACCCAGCAGAAGAAGCGCAAGTTGGCCAAAGCTTACAAATCCAAGGCACGGTTTGCGAGGCTGGACCTTCAGCAGAAGCAGAAAGCAGATGCTTGGAAACGCTTCCTTGCTGGAAAACCCAAGAAGTCGCGAGCCAAGGACAAGTAGGGTTTGATTGGCAGGGGGTGGTGCTTTGGGTAGACGCGGGTTCCGATGTTCTGATGGCTCGGTGTAAACTTAATCAATAAAATGACTGCAATTTCTTTAGCTCCTACAGTTAGCTTGAGCTCAAAAGCCAATGGATAACATCTGCTGACAATTTGGCGGAGGCTGCCGTGATGGATATTCCTATCCAAACCATGGCGCGACTTTTGGCTCTATACCCTCCAGACACAGGCGACAGATCAACAGGCCTCCGGCACCTGACGTGCAAGCGGGTTTGGAATTGCACTGGCATATGGCAGGTCGGCAGGAAACCCCAACTCATTGAGGTGGTATGTGGCTAGCTCAAGCTTTATATCCCCGAGTCGTACACATTGACGGACGGGGTTGGAGTCGAGATTGATTCGATTGGCCACAGTGTCATAGTCTGTGCTCAAGAAATGGTCAGTCCCTGCCGTACACGCAGCGGATTTCCGTCTCCGCCACTCTTCTGTGGACATCACTAAACCTTCCGTCCATACATCATAGCCCTGGTTTTATTTTGTCTTGGAAACAACAAGACCTGGCAGTGTGGAGAGCAGCCGCAGCAATTGGCCGTCCTCCCCACCCCTGATCATACACTGTGTCAGGGCAAGTGGCCTGCTGGCCAAATGTCTCTTGCCAACCCAACGCATACCTGGTTCAGTAGTATTTGTGAGAATGAGGTAGTCTTGCAAAGGAAGTGGTGAATTTGTCCTTCAATCATCTGGACTCTCCAAGACACCACCCGCCAGCCCCGTGGGTACGCTCTGTGGATGCACCAGCTTTTTCCGCTCTATCAGCCAGATGTAACATTGTTTGAGGCTGGGCACATTGTGTGATTTAAGTTTGCAAGTAGACGATTGCGGAGATACCAAGGCAGGTAAGCTTCCCCTGCCCGAGCAGTTTGCAATTTGAACTCTTACTTTCCATTTCATTGACTTGATACTCAAAGGATCTGTATGGGTATATTTGAGCCATTGTTGGTGGAGGCTGATAGGCCATCCCAAACATGTGGCGACCGCTGAACTCTATAAAACTTGTCAATTGCAAATCCCTCTCTTATGTTGGTCAGTTTGCTTCTTTGCTCCCTACACGACTGGGCCTTGGAAACCGCATGATTTTGTTCCTTGCCTGCCAGGTGGGCCCATGCCAGAAGGGTCCATGCGAGATGGGTCTGCGGGGATTGCCGGAGAGGGAGCAATGCCAAACACAGCAGTTGCACCGAGGAATTCTGACATGGTATGCAAAAAGCAGCCTTATGGCAAAACCAACCGACTATGGCAAAAGAACAAAGGAAGCCTGCTTCTCCACCGTCATCAGCAAACCACCAGCAGCTAGATGTGATACAATGAGATGAGTGCAACACCTGTGCCCTGGTCACGAGTGCATCCCCAACGGCAAGGGTGAGAGATCACACAGCATGGGAAGCTGTCATGGTTACAATGCATTGCTGAGAGAGGATTATAAACTCTCAAGCTTCAATAAGGGTCAGTTATCCAACAAGCATTAAGTGTTAACCGAGTCTAAAAACAGACACACTCCTGCTTCAGTCCAAGAGGTCCAAGGTCGCTTGGTCCTCAGTTGAGCCGTGAACACCTCTTCTCTGAACCGGCGCTCGGTAAAATACACAGGGCACTGGTACACACCATCCTTCGGCTCCTTCTCAGCTGGCACTGCCTTGATGAGCATGATGGGCATTTGTGTCAGGAGCTGCTTGGGCTTACTCTCTTCCAACATTCCCAGTTTGTCATCCCAAGAGGCACCCTCAAGAACAAGACCATGCACAAAGGCACCCTCACGGGATGGCGCATCCACCTGGTCCAACGAATATTTCTTTGTCACCTACAACTCACAAAACGTGCTTGCATCAATGCAAACTAAACAAGATCTGAATGAGCTAATTCATAGTATAATTCTAACCTCTGTGACAATAACGGTCCGGTCTAGAGGCCATTCATTCCGCCTGGCAGTTGTTTGCTTTACCGCAGTGAGAAACGACTGGGGGTTAAACAGTCTGCAGAATTGAGTCAGATAGTTTGCAGCAACTGCGTGGTCGCACTCAATCAGCCCACGCATATGATGCAGCATATCTCTCCCCACCTACCCGCTCAACCATACACTTTTAGGAACTGTGAGGTTGGAACACCAATCCTGGATCTGAGATACACGCTGGAGCAAGTTCTGCATCCAGGACGCCAGTGCCCGCAAGCTGGGGTAGCCAACTAATGCCCAACTTTCAGGCACGTGGTCAGCAACAAGTGCAAGCATTAGACGTTCCTGCAGACAGGCAGGCAAACAGGATGACGAGTTTCCAGTATGTTTGCTTCCACACCAAATATATGATCAGCACATTGTGTCAACAAAGCTTGCCATTGATTCTGTCATGGTCAGATCTCCTTTCAAGCCTAAGTCCAATTCCATCAGGCTTCGTCGGATCTCGGTCAGCAGTATATTCCAGCGTTCTGCTTCCTGGATAGCCACCCTGACCCAGAAGCGCAGGCAACCAAGGGCGTTATTCATAAACAATTCCACAGATCAGAGCTGCATAAGCGACCAGTAGAATCATAATGCTCCCTATCAAACTCACATGATGTATGGCGTGTACTCATCAACCCGACTACGAATGTCATCAAGATCAAAGTTATCAGGAATGCGCTCAGCAAGGCCGTCCACAACTCGACGCGCTTGCTCTTCAGCTGTTAGACCTGCCTCACCCACTGTATCGCGAGGCTGCGGCCAGAAAGGGCACCCATTTCGCTATTTGCAACAATTGCACAATAGAAGATGTGCATCTTTCACAAACTCTCCCTCCTTACCTGGAGGCTTCGTAGATTGCTACAGAAAGTGACTGCCTCTCGCAACTTAAAACCGATTTCTGCATTTGGGTGTAATCCAAATGCCACTGCGGACTCCACGGGCATGCGGTCCTCAATATACTCAAGCACCTGTAGCCAGCCCATGGCAGACATGTTGAAGCCCAAGTATTTAGTACTGCGGCAAGCGCAATGTAATACCTACTTGAATGTGCGTCATGGTGGCTGGCGGCACTGAGAAGCCGGGGAAAATCTCCATACCATCCAGCAGTGCGTCATTGAAATAGTTGTGCAGGTATGCACTGGCAAGGCGGCGGTCCCAGTCCTCGACGATGTGTCCACCGTACATGATCTCCCCACACATGTAGCGAAGGTCATCCCAAGGCACCTATGGTGATTTGAGTGGATCAGAGAAGGAGCAATCAGCCGTGTCGGATAGATTGCAGGCTGTGGTCTAGTGGGGCGCGATGTGCCATGCTCGCCTGTTCTAACCTACCTTGCTGCATTGTTCTAGGTAGCTAGCAGAGAGCTGGGCAGAGCAAAGGAGGTCATTTGTAGACCAGGGATAGTTCATATTCCAGCCGATGCCGCTGCGGGCTCCTGGGAGGTTGCCGACGCCAAACTTCTTGCGCTCCAGCAGCGCAGCATGAAAAAAGGACAGAGCATACACGATTGACCTGCAATAATGACGCCGAAAAGCCACAGATATTACGCCACATTGTTTACTAAGTGTAATTTATTACTTCTTCATGGTTGAATTAGTGCATTTTCATCCACTCTTATAAACAATGCTTAGGAATAGACATGCCTGTACTCGGTTTGTTTTGCACATCCTTCCAGAGTGTCCTCACTGAAGTTGCCATACGCACGCAGCAGGTTAGCCTTCAAGCCTTCGGGCGGCTCGTTGGTCAGCTTAATGCATGCCTGCAGGATAGAAATAGGTAGGGGGCGCTCCAGCGACGGAGGTGCTTCTGCTGATAGAAATAGCCTGCATAGGAGCGACATGGGTGAACACACAAGTGCAATTTAGAGACATTTTCGAGATTATGAAGAATTCATGTGAGCTAGCACCTGAAGTCTGGATGGGCGCCTTCAGCCAGCTTGTCAATATATTTTTCAAGCGGCCCGCTAGTCCATTCAATAGTGAGATGGATGTTCTGAAGCAGCACCCAACCGCCATTTTTATGTGCATGTGTCAAGTGACTCATAGCAATGGGCTCCTGCATGGAGAAAGTCGATAAATGTATGACTTAAACAGCAAAGTCATGATGCAATGACTGAATGCTCTACTGCTGTGTCATCTTCACTGCAAAACACAATATAAAGCATGCATATGTATGTGCCCTTAGATGGCCATGTCTCGCATACCTGGCCTTGCCCTAGCGAAACGCTGAAGTATTTCCCATTCTCCTGTGTATACCCTAGCTTACAACCAAGTGCCTCAACGGCGCCTGCTACATCAACGCCTGGGGAGAGAAGCACCAACATGGGCGTGCCAGGGCTAGCATCCTGCAAGCACAGCCACCAGCTAAGTGAAAATGAAGATAAAATAGCCAAGCAAAACATGCAAATGGCCTTAAAGCTGTGCCTGGAAAGAGCGCTCCAAGTTGAAAGGCTGGCTGGTCACGTACTCCCTCCCTGCACATCCAACGCGGGCTCTGAGTAGGATTGGAGACCCAACATGACAAACAACGACAACATTGCATACCCAAAGTGTTCGCGACAAACTTAGCCATTGCAGCAGTGACACGATCAGGGCGCAGGGCTTGGAACAACAGAAGTTGATCGAATTGAGGCATTCGCTTCCAGTCGCCTGCGTTTCAGCATGAGATTTAATTTGAGACTAAATGATTGTTACCCTTTTTTCAGTAACAATGAACGAACCAGGTAAGGGCTCATCCTCAGGTCGCTCCATCTCCACCCATTCCTTCCAGCGCATGTAGCTAGCGAAGAGATCTTCGGGAAGTGCATGATAGTCTGCGAGTTCCTTGAGCGCCAACACAGACTGCCAGCAGGTTTGCGGTAGCAACTCAGACACAGGATTGGGCTGGCCTACAACCTATAGATATAAACATAAATAATTGACTTAGTCAATATGTCCAATGCAGCAAAGTTAAGTGCAATGTTACGGCAACATGTTGCAATGCATTTAAAGCACCTTCCTCTAGACAGCACACCTGAGGGGCATGCAGGAAGTATTCAAACTTCTCTTGGCATAGCTCGCCTTTTTTTTTCAGGATCCGCATGCATAGTTGAGTAGCCACCAGTAACTTGTGGCGCTCAAACAAACCCTGCCAGCATGGAAAGCCAAATCCTGCTTGTGAGCTCAAACTCGTGTTTATTCCTAAAAGAAAACACAACCAACCTGTGCGATGTAATTGAACAGCTGATGTGAGATGACTGACATAAGCAGCTTGACGCGCTCTGCAACATCCGGCTCCAATCCTAGCCGTTTGTCGTCTGCCACTGCTGAGTCGTCAATGCCACCAGGTGTTAAGTTCTGAAACAAACATGGGTGAACACGTAGCCACTAGATTTATTTCCGTGTTGCAACCTGCCAAAACAAACAGGCCCCCTCACCATTCCCTTAATCATGATATGGATAAAGTTTGCCATTGAGTAGTGGTACACTCGGTCAAGAGCACTCAGAGAATCCACCACGAAATAGATTAGTGCGCCGCGGAGAGCCACAGGTCGATACACCTCCCTCGCTTTGCTAATGCTAACCTCAGTCTCCTGCATCAAACATCTTGTCTCAAGTATAATTGAGGCATTCCCGCCCAGGACGCCGCGCACCTTTGCTTGCTTGACTTGTTCTGCGATCTGAACAGCCGTGCGCTTGGTCTCCTCCAGGTTTTCAATCAAGGGCATGTCTTCTAAAATATCGCCCTGTGAGAAACAAGGTCCAATGCTCTTGACGTAGCATAATGAGGCGGGTTTACAGGTGCACGTTTTGTAAGCAAGCATGCGAACCTGAGAAGCTGCTAGCCTTGCCAACAGAGAGTCCTCCAGTTGTTTCAGAGCAATAGTATATTCTGCCAACTGATGCACCAGCCGCATGGCATCCTTTTGCAAGTCTGACCGCTCGTGATCAACAACCTGTCAAACAAAAACGACAGTTTTCAGAGGTTGAGATGTCAAATGACATATATACGCAGATCACATTTACAATGTCCAGTCCAAACGCACTCACCAAAGCCAAAAGCTGATCCTCAAGGCCTGCCTCGGTAACACAAAAATTAACAAGGGTTGTCTGCGCCGCAACTTCTGGTTTGAAGTGCGGATTACTGCACATCATAAATGGGGGTAATTGCAGGAGTTGACATGGGAGGGAAGTAAATGACTGAGAGTTCCTGAGACCTCCCAAAGACTTTCTTCTGCACCTGAGTTTGGTTTGCAGATACAGTTGGAAGCGAGGGTTATACTCCACCTCTACGTCACCCAGCTTGATGATCTGGCTTCGACCTCGCTTCCACCTGCAAGCGTTCATACAATCAATCAATGGCTGAACACAAATGGTTGCAGTGTCGCCAACAAGGATCAGGTACCTTTTTCTGTATCACTGCATCTAACACCGGGTCAATTTCCTCTCCACTGCAATATGCAAAGCGCTGGGGTTAAGATTATGCATCTGGGCACCCAATCACAACCAGCATGAGGAGAGGCGCAGAACCTGGTGCTTGAACTCCGCAAATATTTGTACTTGTATAACCTCACCAGTTCTCTCGCAGCAATGGGGCAGCATTCTCAATGTGAAGAAAACAACCTGCAGGATATACGGGGGAGTGGTTGCATCTTTGTGTTTTTGTGTGGGATCTCAAGCTAACACTAACCGTATCAATACACTTTGCGTCGCTGTGGGGGGGTGTGCGCAAGCCATTTCTCTCCCCCCTTCTCAGAACCCAATTAACTCCCTGTTTAAGAAGCAGCAGCAGGTTTTGAGGGTTAAGAGTGGGTTCATAAAAGGTTTCGGTTGTGATTGGATCGCTGCTCATAGGCAGCCATGAGCTGAACAAGGAGAGCAGCGGGAACCAACCTGCAGCTGTGGGTCAATCAATAACGGCCAACGTGCTGTGGAAGTAATGATGGCACCATTTTCAATAGACAGAACATCTGTGGGCAAACCTTCATTGGCCCACTGCGCCTGCACACAACACTTGAAATCAAGAGTTATTCAACATTTCACATATGGTTATAGCTGGTTATCAGTTCATTCTACCTTGGTAGATTCGTCTGTCAGCATGTCGAGTGGGCTGACACTTGCAGATGTAGGGATGAGGCGTTGGTTAATGTCTGGCAGCCAATGTGTCTGCAGCATCCGGGGCCCCCAAAATATAAAAAAGACTCTGCCACCCAATTCCATTCTGATCATGCAAAATAAAGGACTTGCCTCTACCAGCTCCCGTCGAATTTGTGTGTTAAAAGCGCCGGCGTATGTAACAAAGGAAGAGCTCAACAATACATCTCCTATCAGGTTGCCCTCAGTGGTTGCCATTTCCACGATGCTTTCACTCCAACGAGCGAACTCCCCAGCCAATCCTGTGATCAGGCGTTGTGCTAGTGCAGCCTTGCTAGCAGTGCGTTCTGCCTGCAAAGTTGCACATGCAATTCTGTTGATGATTTGCCTGTTTTTCGACGCAATGCACAGTTGGCGCTAGGCTGTACCACGTGCCTGCGCTATTGCGGTGTTCTTATCCTCCGTGGCTTTAATTAAACCCTGTTCTAGCACTGCGACACGCTCCTGTAAATCCTTCACTTTAGATCGAATGCCACTCAGCTTCTTGTTGGCAGCTTCCAGTCGTTTGTTCGCTTCTGCCAGGGCACAGCGCTTGGGAGCAACGACCTGCAATTCGGTAGAATTCGGTTATTCCTCCAGGAATTAGCAGGCATTGGAAATACATGGCAGATTACAGCCTAAAATCACCTGATAAATGCGGAAGTATTTGCACATATTAATAACCCACGCACTCAAGCCTGCTGCAGCAGATGACTTTGTACGAATGTAGTCAGGGCGGAAATTTGGGTTGGAAATGAAGTCCTTTTCGACGCGATCCACGCATGCAACTACAAAGATATGTGGCACCAGGGAACTTGCATGATTGTCAATGGTTACTTTATATTGGGATGATAGACTGGTAATTGCACGCTTTACCTGGTATGCCGTCTTTATCGAAAGTGAGCAGCGACTGCAAAAGCAAGAACCGTTAAACCAGCACAACAAATAGATACAACATGTCGCAAGTATTCAAACAACTCACCCGCAGAAAAGCATCTGTATTGCCCATGAACTTTTTTCCAGCATTCCAGCTGCACGTCAACACCCACTCAGTACACGAACAATATTGATGGAAACCAGGACAATGGCCCAGCCCGCATACTGCCCACCTGAGATCTTTAGGAATATTGCCGCCGCTTGAACACAAAATCATGCAGGCCGCCAGTACTTGGACAATTTCAGCAGCAGGGGCTCCGAACGACTTGAGCTCTCCAAGCGAGGCCTTGTCTAATGAATTCAGTGCAGCCTCTGCCTCCTGCACTTTATTTTCAATTTGTCAGGCATTCACACCAGTGCTCAACACGTCACCTGGGGTGTTGCTTACAGCTTTAATGTCAATGGCGATCCACAAATGCCAGCTAACCTGAATGATGGGCTCTGCACATGCCAGGTCCTGGGCGCATTCCTCCTGGAAGGCAATGACTTCTGATTGTAACTTGGCAGCTGCTGCCTCGTCCTCCCTTCCTTTATCAACTTCCTCGTCCACCTTGGCCTTCTCCTGTCCGATTGACTCCACCAACTCCTGCAAATGTCCTGAGCAGGAATTGAAAAGTTGTGAAATGGGATGCATACCACCAAGCCCGGGCGTGTGAAACACACTGGATCAGCGCACCTGGGTTTTGGCCCGTTTCTGATCAACCACAACCTGCTCCTCCTCAAGGTTCTTCTGCAAATCTTCAACAGCACGTGTTGCCTGCAATCTTTGCAAATGGCACTTTAAGTACGACTTAAAAGTGGCACAAAATGATTGTGCAAGCGCTCTTACCGACGTGATTTTGTCTACTCCCCTCTCAAGGCGGTCCTTGCCCTGCTTGAGCTGTTCACGCTTGATAGCCAGGAGCTGCTTGTACAGCGCTATAAGCTCAAGAAATGATTTAGGGGTTGTATAATTATAGCGGCGATACAGCTCGTAATATCTGTGTACCAGCATAGCAAGTGGTGGATAATGAAACAACTTCACATGGGGGAATGCAGCAATGTTGATTGCGCATATGCTTACTTGTGGCTGGCAGTGCTAACAGACTGGTGCACAAAAGCCATGTGCTTGGAGATGGACTCCCGCAGTCCCTCCTGGAGATCTGGCACGTCGCTCAGGAAACGGCCGGCGACACTAATAAGCGCTTCTTCAGGCCAGGAATGAAACCTGCAATAAATACCATATTTCATGGCATTGGCATCTGGCGTATGTGAAAGTGTGAACGTGTACTCACCAATCATATTGCATACTGTTAACAAGACCAGGGAACTGCCTTGCTCGAATTCTAAATTGGTCTCCGACAGGTGAAAAACACAGCACAATATGGAGATTTTTGCGAACCTGCAATGTTTTACAATAATGCAATCGTGATTGCTACTGTGCAGCACATATGAAACGAAAAGGCAAGATTTAGGACGCACCCGCTCAATGAAAAACTGCCAGCATATTTCCGGAGTGTCCATCAGACCGGCAGCTTTAGCTTCATTTCGCACCTGAACAGAATGTGCATATGCAGATTACCGGTAAATGATATCAGTGATAGGCAAAGGCCAAACATTAACCAATCTCCCACCCCTACCAAGCTAGAAAAATTATCCTTTTCTTCTTGAGAGCATAAGTCGGGAATATCACCATTTGCGAGCAAGTCATTAATGTAGATGAGGAAGTCTTCCTTAACAATCTGGTTATCACTCATCAACAATACTATGGGTGTCCCCTTCACGCCAGCCTTGTGATATACACTCACCAAGTCCTACAACAGGAAACCAATCAACACGTTGCTTGCAAAAGCAGAAAGAGGGGATGCGCTGTTTCGAAAGCATACCATTTTAAACTCGCTTAGGCCATATGTTGAGGTAACAGCAATTTGAAACAATTCATAACCGCATAGGAACGCTGCAAGTCGTGCTAATGATTGCTTGCCTGCAACTGAACCGAACTTGCTCAGGCAACACGTACCGCAATTGGGCGCCATTGGTGATATAAACATCTCACACACCTGAACCACCAACGCCGACCAACATAGCATGTCCACGAGGAACGGATAGAATACGTGCGATTCTAGACACATGCTCAGCTGCTTGTTTGAAGAGCACCAGATCCATGACTGCAGTGCTTGTTCAAAGCGATTGAGGAGTCTGAGTGATAGTAATGCAAGCAGCAAGCACTATGGATGACATGTCAGTAGTCACACCTGCATTATTCTCGTTGTATTCGGCCAACTTCTCCTGCAAAATCCTTTTTAATACGTCATCAGATTCAGCGCATGTGTATACTGGTGCATCAATTGCATTTCGTGCCATAAAATTGTTGAAAAGGAGCGGCTTTGCCTCAATATCCAGCTGCAATTAGTGGAATGGAGGTTGTTTATGGGCGCACTAAGTTGATTTATCATCGTAAAAGGCCCAACCTACGAGCCTCACCAGCTTCATATGGCCGAAGTACTTGCGTACAACGGTCCCGCAAAACTCAGAGAACCTTGCTATATCTTGCTCACTGACCAATCGGTCGCTCAAAACACGCTTGCACTCATGCAACCATAGGCGTACAGCCTGCAGCATATGTAATGCCCGATTATCCTATGGAACTGATAAAGGGCTTGCACATATAACCGGCAAACCTGCAGGGGCTCCTTGATTGTTTCCTTCGTCATGCGGCATAGGCCCTGGGTAATACTAGAGAGATCGCGCAGATTGAACTGATAGTGAAACTTTACTGCAAGGCAAGTATTAAAAGATGAAATGAGAAACTAATTCAAATACAGGCATATGCATTTGCCGACAACCTGCAGATGGCAGAAAGCCATTCATCGCGAGTCCATGTAACTCAATCATTGCGTCAACTAGCCTTGGTCCCAAGCGAACAACCTGCAGTACAACAGGTGACCATGTCCAGCCTTTTAGTATAAGTGTGCTGCCAAAGGAACATATCGAAACAAAACCAACCTCCTCTTCGAAGCCGTTGCTCAAATGTCCCTCCACAATCTGGGAGTACATATACCTGCAGGAAACCAGGGAGCATTGTGGCTGTGATGTGACAACATATAAAGTTCCACTGTTCCAGCATTGCTCACTTGACAATTTCTGGGCTGGGCATCTGGACTGCAAGAGTAACAAAGTGCCGCTGCATGCGTGGTGTTATGGTGAATGACCCAGCAGTGGGGTTCATGCATGCGACATAGTGGGTGTTGCAAACCTCCTTTTGCATAATTTTTTGCTTGTCAAACCTGAATGAAAGAAACAACTGTGCAAATCATGCTTGGAGAACCTTGCAATAAAACGAAAACGTTTCAATAGCGCACCAGCCATGATAGTCGATGCTTTGTCGCAGAAGTTCAATGGCACTCTGTGTATCATACTTATCGACGAAAGGCATGTTGATGTCATCGACGAAGTATGTTAGTTTCTTCGTTCCCGGGGGGCCAAAACGCATTCCTGTGGCATGCAAATTGGTAACAGAAACAGAATAAAAAACCATGACAGAGCAGAAGAGACGCCACCTCAGCCCCACCTGCTTTCTTTTCTAAAGGAGATTCAAGAACGGCCTGTAGGCTTGGTCCTGTGTGCTGGCTGTTCAGATTGATGGTATGTAACATCCGGCTGTCGCCATCCAGGCTCCGTAATTTGTTCTGCATTATGGTAGTTTTTCCCGTGCCTACAAAAGACCGAAGAGTGACTAAAATGAATAGGATTTAGTTTAGGAGTCAAACTTCCGGCACTTACCACTGTTCCCCACAAACATTACATGATGCATATTGGGCAGCAATAGCTCCAACAGATAGTTTAGGCGCGTGGTCTCCACAGTGGGTACACAAAACGACATGCTATCTGCATCTATAACAGGGCAATCAGCATGGCAAGAGTAGGCTACGACAGCATGCCACGTGGCATTCTCAAACCTGGCACGTATGTAAACTGTGTAACCCGTTGCCTCCAGTGAGTCATGCACACATTCTGGTCATCCACAAAATAGTCAAATACAGTGCCCTGCAAACAGCCAACAGGTGCCCTATCACAGATGATACCCAAAGTGCACCAGGTAGCCGACGCCTTGCTGGAAGCTGGAAGAAAGTCCGCTCGAAGGAACATTGCAGCACCACTCACCTCTGCTGGGAACAACACTGTCTTATGCTCTCCCTGCCACCACCGACTGAACTGCAGGCGATAGTCAGTGATCTTATCCACCAGGAGGCAGCCACCAAATGCCCAAATGCATGCAAAGACAAAGTGGTGCTCTAGGAGCTTCTTGTCAGGAGGTGGCCCTCCTCTCTGCACCTCCTTAGGCAAGATACCCTCCAATATCTGTAGAGTGCATGCAGGGGAGGGGATGCGTCTCATAATGGCCATGAGAAAGCTTCGCGACGGCACCAGAAGGAACCAATCTGTCAGGAAACGGCCGACCCACCTTACACAGTGTTTGAACCTGGTTAATAGCGGGAAGTGGGACCACAGTTTTGTAATTTCGGCGGCAGTGCTCTAATGTACCATCAACATATTTGCTGCGAACAGTGGTGGGTTGAAAGCGCTTGGCAAGATCTATGTTTTAAAGGTTCGATGCAGAGCATGACTTACCTAAACAGCATATTCAACATTGGTTTGTGGTCCGTGCACTCCAGCATCTCCACCCAACTCTCCACCGCAGGCTTCCAACCAATGTCATCAGCATTTACAAAAATGACACCTCCACGGGACACTGTGGCTGGTGAGCAATGATTCATATGATTAATCTCCAGCAACAACCGCATGGAGCTGGTGAGTGGTATTCGTTCATTTGATGCCAGTGTCAGCATCTTGTTGTCATCCTGCAGGATTGTTAGCGGCCTCTGGATGATTAGCAGTGGACAACTCATTGAAACACCCACAATGTTGAGGCAAAGGGATTCACCATGACTGTGTTGGCAGACTCGATCCACTCAGCATCGATATCACCATCCAATACAATCCATTGATGCCTGTTGGTCTTATTTTGGGCCATATCACGGAAGGTTGATGACATAAGACCCTCCTTCCATTCACGCGTCTACATTGCGAAGGAAATCAAACATAATTGAAAACAGACATTGTTAGGGTAATTACTCCCACAGCTGCTGTCAATCACTGCACTCGTAACTACCTGGGGGTGCAGGTAGCCATACAGCTCATTGCGAGTGACTGCCTTGGGATTAATAGCACGGAAGACCTGTACTTTTTGGTTGGAAAATACATCCGCATTGATTATGCTGGCCCAAAGATTCATCGGATGTGAAGTTCTAAAAGGACAAGTTGACTTACTGTGCGTTCGCCAAGGATGTTCTGTGCCTTCATCAGGGTCCGCCAAATGGCAGATTTGCCGCAGCCGGCAGGGCCTAATAGAAACACGGACCAGCGGACGTCAAATATTTCCCGCAACTGCGACACCTTCAGGCGAAAGGTTGCATCAGGTTGATAACCCATCTCGATAGCCGCCTCTTGTACCTACGGTGACAGATGTAAAGTAGATAAAAACGCTGCGCCAACAACAGACAATGAATGTTATCCACCTACTTTGGCTTCAAAACATGAATCCACAGCGCGTGGCACATTCTCTATCGTCTTGGGGAACAAGTCACCCAGCAAACCCAGAAAGATGGACGTGTCATCTGCAGTTAGTTTGCCTACATTGAAGTCACGTAGTTCGCGTACCAACACTCTATCCTCTGCACATAGAGCAAGAGTTTCTTGGTGGAACAACCGCCAAAACAATGATTCACATCCTCGAAAATGCTCCTGCCGCACCAGACAGCTCTGGAGCAGACCGTTTCATGCTCCCTGCCACATAAAGGGTAGTCTTGATAGCCCGCAGTTTCCAGTCATAGTGCCGGGACTGCATGGCACACGAAGTCACTAGGAGACACAATCAGTCGGACGGCCCACCTCAAGCAAGAGTGATGCAATTCGCCACCTTGGAAAGCAGATCCTCGCACAACTTATACAGAATAATAAATTTTCGAGATAGGAGTTTCGATTGCTGAAAGCCTTCTGCCATGAGCATGATTTCGGATATTAGCGCCAGATCAGGTACAGCCATGGACACAGGACGGAACAGTGCCTGCAAACAGTACATGAGTGTGAATTCGTGCATTTACAGAGCAACCTTCACAGATGCACCTTCACAGATGCACCTTCACAGATTCTGGCAGCTCTGCACGTCCTGGATAGCCAGGGTTCATTGTAATAAACATCATCACGCTGGGCTTCAATGAAACATCCACGTCCTCAAACAAAAAACGCTCCTTTCGTGCACGCAATGCATCCAAAACACTCTGCAACTTTACCATTGGACAATAAGCTAGACAGCAAATCCCTGTGTCTGCCATATTGCGCGCACCTTGTACTGTGTAGAACTCACTGACAACACTGGCACTGGGATGCTGCAAATAGCACCAAAGATGTTCGGCTTTCAACTTCTTGGATTGCAAATTGAATCCATGTCAACTCACCGATTGAACTCATCAAGACAAGCCCAAGATCCTGTTTGCGCCAACCCCTTGAATATCTGACCCATGGCTCGGAAGTCCATCTGATCAGAGCAATTGAAAACATAACATTGCACACCTAAGGCACGCGCAAGGTCTTTGGTGGTCTCTGTCTTGCCTGTACCAGCAGGGCCAGCGGGTGCACCACCTGCAGTGCAAGGCAACGGCTAATTGCTCGTATTGACGAATAAATCTGAACAACGTGGTATCAGCACCCACAATATAGTATCAATATGTGCAGCACTGCCACCTTAAGCACAACTAGGCCATACCTAGCACGAGTCGCTGGGCTTGGGTAAGAGTGATGTAGCAACGATCCGTGAGGGGAGTGATGCAAAGGCAGCCCACATTGCCAATGTACTCATTTAAATACTTAACTTCGGCATCGCAAATATTGACCTACATTGCAATGATTTTGATGGTCTGTCTTCAATCATGTGAAAAGGTGCAAACAGGGATTACACAATCACAATGTTCCATTATTTATATCAACAGACCTGGCATTCCTTTGTCTTTTCGTTTTGATGGTAGCGTAGCTGGCTCTGCCACTGAAATCCCTGACAGCTTTCCACCCGCTCATCGATCAGCCTCTGCACCACATCCCTCGCATGCACGTCCACGGTGCATAGCGTGATGAGCTTCTTCCGGTCGTTTTTGCCCAGCGGTCCATTGATAAGATCAATGAGCTCCCTGCACAAGAGCATTAAACCATTTGGCAAAGGGATCCCTCCCATTTTGCTGACGTGTGTGACACGTCCTTTTCTCTAAGCTGCGCTTTAAAAATTTTCACCCCAGCAAACACTACTGGAACAGCCTTTTCAGCAGCTGCCCCCCCAAACTCCACTTTGATGGTGCCTCCAATTTCTCTAGAAGGGATCAAAAATGCAAGAGCCATTAAAAGCCTTGCCTGAGCTGTGTCTTCTGTCGTTCCAGCACCTCCTTCAGCGCATCTTCATTGCCGTCCTCAAGCTCCTCAAAAGCCTCATCCACCTGCCAATGAGATGCGGGGGTCTCAGGGCGCTTGTAGTGTTTATCTGTAAAGCAATCACAACGCAGCAGTTACCTCCTGCGTAAAGTAAAGCCGAGATACCACAATTGTGTTTTGTGTGCTGTAATCAAAAATCCACTTAATCCGAGGCTTTTCATCATATGACGGAATGATGGATTTGAACTCGGCTTTGACTGCATTTTTCATGGAATCCACCACATTTTGCAGCCAAACCTACACAATGCAGAAGGTAGTGTGTGAGTACAGCTTGACGGCTGCCACCAACAATCGCTCCCTGTCTCACCTCAACTGGCCCATCACAATGGCATGCGGTTATGAATGGCACAAATTCGCGTTCCCCTGAATACATGCCAATGGCTAACTTTGAAGGGATGCCCTCCGCATCCGTTTCAAATTCCAAATCATGAATATTGTCAAAGCACTTAGGCAGATGCCTGCAAGCAGGTTACCACAGGGTTGCTAAAGTATCACATTCACAACAATTGAGGGTCTTCTAGACATAGTTGGGATTGCCTGATGATAGCCTTCGGATTTGAGCCCTTGGAAAGAATATCTGCAAATACTAACGGCACAATGAACTGAATGGAGCGGTTTACATGGAAAAGTGACATTTGTGCAAAACTGACCTAGAACATCCGAACTTGAAATAAAATAAAATCGTGGGAAAAAAATGCGCTTGGTCTCCAGGTAATCCTGCAGCAATTGAAAGAGGTGGGGCATGTGAAACTCTGTGTGGTCCTCATGCGTAAGTTCCCTCCCTTGCATCAACCTGAAGTGCCTTCTCGCACAGTTCCAGCTGCAGTAGCATGGCCTCCAAGCGCTCCTGGCGGCCTTCAGCCTGCGCAGCAGTTCAAATGGTATGCTAGAAAGAATAAAAACATAATTGAGCATCACGTACAAAACTGGTCAATCGAAAAGGAAACAATGGCAAGCATGGATCTGCTGTATGCTGCATCTGCAGTACACTGATTGATACAATGCTCTCGCTTTGTAAACACACCCCACATGCTTCAACTACATTGATGATCTCTGGAGCCGACTTCATAAGGTCCTGAAAAGAAGACATGGAAGAAATGCAATTGGTTCAACTGTAGACTTGAGGTAGCCTGCGCGTTGACCAAGTAAAGAACGTGCCAAGGTTACACTCACCACATAATCCGCATTGACAGCATCAAAGCGTTTCGATTCCTCTGGGAGCTGAACTCGAATATCTGCCGAGCCCACAAAAATAGCCTCCAAGGATTGCCACCTACGTTGCACATCCTTCCAGACATTCAACACCAAATCCACAGTGCCCAACTTCTTCTGCCATATAGCTACTGCCTCCAGGAATTTGGGATTGCCCTTCATAACAGTTGGATGGAAGCAAAGTTTGCAAAGTGCAGTCGTGTGGGTAAGTAGATTGCTTGGTGCATATGGTTCATCAGGTTAGCTTTGCAAGATTGCCCACCTGCACATATTTCCCGTTGCTAAGGTTCTGCAATAACAGATGATCACTCTCCAGTACGTCAACAAGTGCATCGTCGGTGTTTATTTGACCGACATCCGTATCCTGGTATGTCGTAAAGGATAGGTTCATGCTGCGCCACGTTTCTTCAATTCTGAGCATTGCCTGCAATATCTCACAATTTGCTGGTATAAGTACCAGCGTATTGCAAGGTAAAACAGAAAGCCAATCCCCTGACCTTCTCTACAAGGAGCTCTTTTTGTGCGCGGTCCACAATTTCAGTACAAGCATCAACACAATTATGTAGGCCAAGTCTGAGCATATCTCCAAGCCTGAAGCTGTTGCCCATGATAAAACGCTTTCCAGTGGCCTGCACAATCACCGAAAGTCTGCACCGTCAACTACCAAAGCAATATGGCAATGTAGAAATGCGGTTAAGCTTGCCCGCATCAAAAGCGACCAATGGCGGTCACGCATTGCAGGGTGATGCAAATCTTGCACTAGGGGAAGTGCCAGTAACATGGCATTGACTTTCTCCTCCAACAACCGATAAATGTCATAGCCTCGTACCTGCGGTGGCAGTGCAATTTATATATAACAGCTGCATTGCCAAGAGGTCTTGCATGCACAATAACAACACTGGAAGTTTCACCGCTTTGGGGAGCCCTTTGATCTGCTTGATAAGTTTTTTACACTCATCCATCAAGCCATCTACATTGATATTATCCCACAGCATGCTGCTCCATGCTAGGAAGGTGTGCAGCACAGCTGCAGCTGCATCCCACATAGCTTTCAGATATGTAAGCTCCTCCTGTAGTACATACCATTGTCAATTTAACCAAGTTTAAAAGACTGAGCCCATCCCCACCACATGCACATGCGTGTAAACACACACGTACAACTCCACACACATTCATGAAACGCACACATATACAACACACTTACAACGCAGCGTTGTAGCAAAACATAGTCCACCACATACAGCTCAAAGAGGTCCTGCTGCTTACGCAGTTGCTCAGCCTCGTCCAAGAGGGCAGTAAGTGACAGGCTCCCACCATGATGAAAACTGTCCAGAACATTGTAAGCACTCTTTGCCTGTACAGAAATAGCACAAGAGGGGGGATTAACATGGTGAACACTGTGATAAAGCTTCAACAAAAGCTTTACGCACAATTTCCAGGGTCAAGTCGTTGCCAACACTAGTGAATGGAGCTTTTTGCAAAAACAAAGACCGGTAGCTATCCAGCTTCTCCCCAAATTTATCGCTTTTGTGGCGAACTGCAATAGCCTCTGCTGCTTGAAAAGGCAAGAACTCCTCACGATGGCTGCAAATGGAAACAAACAATGCTAAATCAAAGACTATTTACGGTCTGAAGCGGGCAGGTGGAAGTCACCTAAACATTTTTTTGTAGAGTAATCGCCACTGGCGCGGTCCATCCTCGAGTAACTTGACCAATTCCTGATCTAAGGAATACCCAGACCGAACCAGCAGCGCCACTACTTCATCAAGCGGTGTAAACATTGCCTCTGCAGATTGGAGATAACATCGTCAGCTAAGTGTAAGAGTGCCAGGTGCAAGTTTGACAGACAAAAACAACAACGTCTACAACTTGCCAATGCAATCGTTGCGCTTCTGAACCTCCCGAATACATGTCATGATGGTGTAAAGCCTGCTGCGCCGCTTTTTCTGAAGGTGTTCTATTTCCCTATCTGTTAGCAAACTAACACCATTTGCGGACTGCAAGATCAAGATGTGGGTTTACGAGTTTGTAAATGATTTTAAGTAATTACTGCTTCTTGGCTGCCATACACTCGCCTCAGCGTTAGATGGATCTGATGGCAACAATCGAGGGGTGGCCCTGATGGATGGTGGTGCACTTGTGCCAGAGCCACCTTGTGATGTCAGCTTGGTTTCATCCTCAAGGTTGACATCAAGAGCATCATTAGCATTAGACATGAATGCATACAGGTCGCGTACAGAACTCTCAACCTGCATCAAAAAGCATACAAGGTCATCACACAGCATTAACCCAAACAGTACCCTGGTAGTATGAAGTGACATTAGCAGTTGAGCAGCCTAAGTATCGAAGCGAGTGCTCCCAACTTTTACACAGCATCAGTCCCTAAACCCCTGCTAAATCTCCATGGGATGGTGCATCATTGCCAGCACACCTTCGTAAGCAGATGGTGCACAAATAGATAGATCCATTTGGAGGTCCACATCAGCATTGCCTGCTTAAGCGGCCTGGCATCAACTTTAATCCACCCAATAGCGGCACCAGAGGGCAGAGCCTGCACCTCTTCTTGGATGGCCTTGTACGTTGCAATTTCTGCTGCAAATGAAGCCAGCGAGGGCCCCTCCTGCTGTCTCCCTTGTAAGGTGAGAAAATTGCCCAGCGCCTGCTGCATGTCTGTCTGCCAGAGATACGCATATTTGGAGAACTGCTGCTGAAAGGCTGCACACTGTTGCTCTGCCTCAAGTAGAGCTGATTGGACATTGCTCATCGAATCCCTGATCCTGACATCTTCCTCAATTTCTTTGGCATAAGTGCCTACAAGGACAAAGTGCAGAAGCAGGATATATATCCGGGATAAATAGATTACCAGCTGCACTGATGATACTCACCTTCCCCGCAGTCCAAACGCCTGATAAGCAAGCCAATCCCATGACAACCTTTCATCCAACTGTGCATCAGGTTGCAAACACTGTGAGCTGAACAGCTTGCATGAAGCTCGGGGATCCATACAATTTTGGAATCAGCCAGGTCCAATTGAATTTCCAACAAGGGAATGACATGGCTCCCACGATTGTCGTCCATGTCAATCTGTAGCAAGGAAAGTTTCTTTGGAATCCACTCTCTATGGCTAACCAACTGGCGCACGTCATTACTGACCTGGCTATGCAACTGGGTTAAAGAAGCGACAATGGACTTGGCCAGACCTTCCGCTACAATATCGCTGATGTAAACCAAAAAACTGCGAGTAAAACAATATTGGGAAATGAAGACAAATGCGAACAAGGGAAGAAATGAGTTGCTTGAAAGTCATATGCTGGATTTATGTTCACCAAAGGAGCATGAACGATGTGCCTACCTGCGCCAGGAAGCTGAGCTTTTTGTGATCTTCAATGAGCGGCTTAGTGCAGCAAGGTGCTTGGCAATCTCTTTGGCACCATCTGCATGCCAACGTTTGTTTTCCGGGTACATGAACATACATACATTGTGCATCTAGAACGCAACAATGCCGTGCACCTGCCATAGCTGCGTGTCGTGCTATTATGAATTCTTGTATAGTATTATTGAGCTCGTCAAATGTGAAAGTTTTGCCCTCCTTGCGCTCAAATATGACAGCATGATGCCATTGCTGTAGAATGCCCTGCGTCTGCCCAACAGCATCTTTGATGTACATGAGCAACGCATCGAGCTCTTTGACCAGCTGGATTGCCTCGGCCACGTAGTCATCCAGATCGTTACTATTCCATGTGAGTACCTGCATGGGTCTAGCGTTCAGCGTCTCCAACTTGGTGCAGCAGATTAAATGTGCACCATGCACAATGAACTTCAAGTGCAGCCACAAGCAGTTGAAGTGCATATGGCCACACCTCGACGCCTTTTTTAACACACGCATCTACAATGCTCAGCTGCTGCTGCAGCAAATCACTCTCCACTGGCAAAATGGTTGCTGAAATACTGTTATACATTTTAGCAATGAGTTCCAAAGAGCTAATCTGCTTGCGGAACATGTCGGATCGCTCGTACAGCAATAGCGATGCCTCAGGTATTGCAACTGGTAGGGATCGCATCAGCAAAAAATCATGCACTTCCTGTAAAAGTCTGTCAAGCTCTGGGTCGAAATTAATGCATAGAAAACGGTTGCTACTGATGTCAACTCTGCGAGGCAAATTTAATGGATGCTTAACACATGGCAATGCAAAATTGGTTCAAAAACGATGCGCAGAAGCGACATTGGTGGAGATAGTCAATATATTACTAGTAACCAGCAGAGTTTCACCTGAGAACCGGTTCACATAGTTTCTTCTCCGACACCACGGTTGCCAGAGCACACCAGTCTTGCATAAGCGCCGCCTCAAAGGCATCCATTTCTCCTGTCAACTCCTCAAACGAGTGGCACAACTCAAGCCCGGCGTTCGAATCCAGCAGAGCACAAGATAGTGCCCTCAGCTGCTCCATTGGGACTGCAAAATAAAATTAAAAAGTTAACTCATCTTGGTTACGTAAGGTTATTGTTCAGTGAAAATGACTTGCCTGTGATGCGCTCACGCAGGCTGTGTACCCAAGCCAGCGCGCCAGAGTGAGGCGCAGCGTTTTTTTGCACAATGGGATTGTGCTTTTGCTCATTGAACGTGTTGGCAACCTGCACACAATGAGCATGCAGCTATTTTACTGTTCCCTGGAACAACATATAAATGCTTCAAGTTGCAATCATCACATGCCTCGTGCATCTCAAAGACAAACGAGTACACGAGCTCAGAGTGCTTGCACTCCAGGTCTGCCTTGATAGCTTCACGTTGGACTAAACCGTCAAAGCTTTCCAAGAGTTTAAATGTGGCACCAAACGTTGTGCAATCATTGAAAGCCTGCAAAGTATAACAGCCACAAATGGACTGCAGTGTATGGATTGAGACATGTGGACAAGAAATGACCAGGCAGCGTCCTGCCTGAATGATGATTGACGCAAGCCTGTGCTCCATATCCTGGACAACTTTCTTGAAAAGGCCATATTCAGTGATGAACTGCTGTTCATCCACATCCAGTACGTCATACTTTAACTGCAAAGTGGTGACACACTTCAGCAGTAGCCGAGAGAATGAGAACCTTACCACAAACAGACCCACCTTGTGAAAGCATTCAGCTGCCTGCTTAAACTCAGACTGAATGATGCGCACATGGTTGGTCAGTAATCCGCCCTGCGTCCCACCGATGTCCACCCGTTCGAGACGATTGAACTACAGTCCACATAGAAAGGACAAGATAAGTTGTAAAAATGTGTCACATGCGTTTGCAGACATATGAGCAATAGGCAATATGAATACCTCCTGTACAGTATTGCATAGCTCAAAAACGTCTTGGCATCGCGCTAAAAAGGCATCCAGGCGCCCAAACAGGGCTCCATTCTGCACTCGCCAGGGGTTGTGTGGGACATGCAAAGCGCTCTTTGCTTTGTACTCGAGGTAGTAGCTCTTGAATGTCCCGAGCACTCTCAGAATGACCCGGAGTTTTTCTGCTGCATCATGTGGCTCCATCTGCATCAGCTCTAAGCCTGCAAAGGACGCTAGGAGATAAGCAATTAAAAAGGTACAAGAGAAAGTAGTGTCTTCCCACTAGTGCCATACAATCTTTACCTGGACAGAATTTGCGAGCCTGTGACATGAGAACATTGCAGACCTGACGCACCAGCGTCACAAGGTGCCCAGCACTGCTATAATGTTTGGAATGCTGCCAAATGAGCAACATTGTATGCAGAATTGGTTTGAACAAGTTAACGAGCTCTGGGAAGTCATCCATGGTGCGCAGTTTGTCCAGTGGCATGCGGAGTGGAAGGAGGTATTTGCTGTTTTCAGTTGCCTCCTTGCGAGCCGCAAACACCTCTTTACAAAGGCGCATGAACGCGGGCAGGTAGGTGCTGGCTGCTCCCTCCAGTGCCTGCATAATCATCCGAATTCTGGGCTGTGCAAGCTGTTCCCAAATGCCGTTGAGGTGTGTGGCACGATTTGACCAGTACTCCACTTCGGGCAACGGAGCAATAAAACCATTCAGATCGATGACCGGAGCCTCGGGGTCCAGGCACAGCACTGACTTAATCAGGCGAGTCCAAGCGATCAGTGCTGCCTCCAGCACGTGCAATGTATCCCTGCCCATAGGTGTCCCTTCCAAATCCACTTCGCTGACAGGCGGGAGCGGAAGTATAGTTTGGTTCTTCAGCTGTCCTGCAGTGACATGCACTGCACCAGAAAAGAAGCGGCCACTACCTTGGAGGTCAATGCAACAAAGTTCACTTCCCACTATAACATTGTTGCGGGCTGCATTTCTCCATTTCCCAACTTCCTGAGATGCGCACGTTACCTGATGCTGAAAATTTGTGCATGCCATCTGCTACGTCCTTCAACACCACCTCAGGCAAACTAGGAAGCGGGGTATTGCTTGCAAATATGAGTGGCAGAAAGACTTCTGAAGAGAGCGATGACAGCTGATCAAGTAATGCATCGCTGAGCTCGCCGCAAATCACCTGCATGTCATGTGCATTTAAGGGCTTCTGGTACCTGACTGGTACTGTGTTAGTTAAATCTTTTGTTTATCTTGCTTTACCACCCACCAACTTGTCGACATCTTCTTGTAACACCGGCGACTGTGCCAGTTTTAAGAAGTAAACTGTCTTACGCTTGAGCTTGTTTGGTAGGAAGTTGGTCTGCACCAGATGGAATGAGCTTGTTGATGTACCAGCAACACAGTTAGGCAGTTGCTATCGCTATAGACACACCGCAAAGAGGTCTTTGCCCTCCCAGAAGAACAGCACTCGGGTTCTGTCGGCCTGCTCGAGGAAGGCTTGAAATGCGGGCCTGCAAACACCTGGGCCTCATCTATTGATAGTGCAGCAGCAGGTTTCAGCAATGCTCCAAACTCCAACGTCACACACATACAACAGCGACCATTAGAAGGCTGCAGCTGAACCTTGCAGGCACCCACCGGGTTTCGCTTTTCATGAACCTATCCCATGCTGCAACGCTCGCTCCTAAAGAGGCCCGCAGCCTTGAGAAAAAGAAGGCCGCGAGGGGTTGACCACTGATAACGTCCATGGCGGGCACGAAGCAGGCCTCCATCGCATCAAAGCATAGATGAAAGCGGCATGCAAGCCTGGAAATGTAAGATATGGGGCTGTGCGGTCAGCGCGTAGTGCCGCTGCGTACCGCCACGGCATTGGCTATGAGGCCTCCGGGAGTTTTTCCCGGGATGGCTGGCGAGACGCCCAGACAAATGAGCCTGGACTTCTCGCATACCCCTTCCCTCGCATGCAGGTGCATTGTGTCAGTTTGCCTTTAGCCTTTTGCCTGGGGCGGCCCTCCCTCTTGGCCTTGGCTGGTGATGGCTACTCCCCCGCTAGTGCAACGGGGCCCGCCTCGCGCGGCAAACGCCTCCCAGACCCGCTCTGAGTGGCTTTCTCAACCGGCGGCACTAGCTGTGCGGCGCAACCGCGGTCAGCATGGCGCGACATGTATCGACATGGTTTGACGACCCCCATGGCCCGGTGCATGCAGCGTCTCCCCTTGCGGTCAGCAGAGGTCGGCAGGCATGCAGCATGCAGCAGGAGCAGCCGGGTGGCTTCCTTGTGGCCAACACTGGTGCCCCGCCAGCGCCGCCTCGCCGGCGCAGTGGCGGCGGCAGCATAGCAGCAGCTGGCAGCCTGACGAGTTCAGCACCAGCCCCTGGCAGCTATTTCCACAGCATGCATCCCCTGCCATAGATGCAAGCGCGGTGGTCCCCTTGCCCCCGTCCCCTCAGCGGCGGCGGCCAGCAGCATCTGATCGGCTCGCCAATGGCGTGCAGTGATGTGCCCGGCGGCGATTGGCGCTTGACGGCTCAAGCCGGCACTTTGTCCCAGACCAGCCCACCGATGCCTCTGTGCCGGCAGCAGGCGGCGCCGAGGCTAGCCTGGCACCGAATGCCCTAGATGCTGTTAGTGCCTATCACCCCAAAAATCACTACGTATGGCCACTGACGCTCGCAACACTGCTTGGCGGCTAAAATGCCGCATATGCCGCCCCCCACAATGACCAGCTCGGTCTCCACCAGTTCATCGGGCGGGGCGTTGGTAAGGACGGTCACAGTGGCCCGGGCCATGGTGATGTTGTGAGCTGAGGAGAGAGGTACGTTTTGTTTTTATGTTTCTTGATGAAGTTTGTAAAGCAGTTCTGGAGCAGTCAACGGGGGAGGGCACATGCCTCTATGCTGCGTGTGCTGAGCACTTTGCCTGCTCGTCTCCCTCCAGTACCGTTTGAATCACTGAGTTGTCTCTGATTCCCTAATTCTGTGCTGCTGCTCAGGGTAGCTGCTCAGAGTTGGAGGGGGTGGTGGTCGGGACACAAAGCCATTGCATTGAATGTTACAGGCTGCGTGAAGAAAATACTGCAAGCATAATCCACCGCTTCCTCCGCCAGAAACCGTGCCGCCTCGTCGCCTTTGCTGCCGCCTGTCACCAGCGCTGGCAGATCGCCACCGCTGCGCTGCCAGCATTCCCTCCCTGAACCCCCACTCTCATGTCCACCCCCTTTGCTCTTACCGTACCATACCTGCTCCACGACATGCAGTACTGTCTGCCCGCTCACACACTGAACGCTCGGTGACCTGTCAGTTGGCCTGTCCTGCCTGTTGTTCTACTGCTTCATCCCTCCTTGCTCTAACAACAAAGTCTGTGCGCAAGCTTGTTCTTGCTGAAACCAGACTGTAAGCCCACACAAGCAACAAGCAAGCAAGCAAGTGCATGCAAGCAAAGCATGACAGCAAAGGGCAGGATTGAAAGCACAACGGTGCCAGTCTGGGGGCGGCAGCTCAGAGCTGCTGGCACCAGCAGCAGCCTCCCAACGCTTACGCCGGCGGCCCAGCCGCCGTGATGCAAGGTCGGTGGGAGGGCAAAAAAGGAGAAGCAATGGAACGACCCCGAAGCCGCACGGAGTGCGGCCTACGAGGGCGGCCGCAGGACTGCCACCAGGTGGGTGCTGCGTACAGTGTAGTACAGGCAGCCGCCTGCCAACGGACAGAAGCAGTTGCGGGTCATCAACACTCATGAGGGTGACACAGACTCATCTTATCTCCCTCCCTCATCGTGCACTGCCGCAGTGCAATCATTTTCACCTGCTTGCCATGCACTGCCTTCCCCTCTCGCACTGCCACACCCCTGTGACCACCGCCTTCCCTTTGCGTATGCTGGTGCATTGTGTCCTCCGTGTCTTGAGGTTGCACTCCCATTGCCGGACATACACATCCATTTCCTTTAAGTAGCTGTGTTAACAAGTCGGATTCAGCCCTGCAGTGTGTGTGGTGGTGTGAGTAGCGTCCACACGGCAGAGTATATAGTGGGGGGACCCCACACAACATTCAATGCAGTATTCCTTTGCTTTCTGCATGAACTTTGTCAGTTTGTTTACATGTGAAATACATGAAATGCACCAAACCCCATGTCTGGGGGCATGCCGCGCTATGTCGACCATAAAGAATGGAAAGTGAATGCGACAGCCAGGAGGCCCACTGATCCACACAGCAGAGCCCCTCTTGAAGCATGTATCCTGACTGCCTCCGCTGACAACGTGTCTAGGGTGTCTTCCTTTGCATTGTAGACCCAGTCAGTTAGTCGGCGCAAAATGCCAAGGGCCTGCTGCTGTTGCTGTAGAGGACCTGCCGGAGTTGCCACGTTGCTGGTGGGGTCCATGTCGGTGCTGCTCCCAATCAGGCCTGCTACCCACGAATGGCCTGCGCCCAACAGGCCACCGCGCATCTGTTCCTGCAGTTTGAGGCACTCCTGGCCAATTTCATGTGCGACCTGCAGCAGTAACCCCAAAAATATGGCAATCTTTATGTTAAAAGGAGAAGTGCAACTGGTATATATGCTACGTCAACGTGCTCAACTGTACCTTCTGAAAGTGTGTAGATACAAAATAATGGTTCCCTTCAGGCAGCACGATGTGGCGGTAGGACCGCGAAGTGTGCTGCCGCCAGTGCACCATGTATCCATGTGGTATCGTGTAATCCCGGCCACCTTCAAATGCCACCACAGGCACAGTCAATGGAGCTTGCTCCTCGTACCTGCATGTAATTTCCCATTTCCAACCAAATAATGAATTGCATCTCAACCAAGTAATGACTTAGTTGAGGGCCCCATCACCGCGCTGAGTCAACTACGCAGCGTAAATGCAAGCACAAACACTTCACCTGTACTGCACCGCCATCATGATATCATTGACGCCCATTGGCGCGACACGCTCAAACAGGCGTTCGTTGCGTTTCATCTCCTCCACACCCGCAAAGTGGCCTGCTTCGAAGGCCTTGAGAAGCTTCTCCTTGGGCAGGTCCTTCCAGCCTTGCAATATTCGCATCACCTCCTCCAGAGGAGGTGACTCATTGCGACCTGCACCAAACAATGCTCTCAACACGCTCAATATCCAGCTATCAGTGTTTATCGTTTTGGCACCTGTGCTTCTGCCCACAGTGACATGGTACTCACCAAGCTTGCGGGTCAGGTAGATCTTCATCACCACGAGAGCATAGAGGTGGGGTGGTGAAACTGCTGCTGGCATAAAAACCAAAGGAAGAGGGGCACAATTGGTGCGCTCTATTTCGCGAACAACTTCATAGCCCACAATGGCCCCCAGGCAGGTGCCAAATATGGCATATGGTTTATCGGTAAGGGGCAGGCTTCGCGCCAAGAGCCGTGCAAGCTCACGCACATCGTTGACTGCCGGCTCGCCTTCGCGACGGCCACGACCAGGCAGCTCCACTGGGCACACCTGGACAGATGCTGGCAACATCTGAGCCCACCTGAAGCAGCAGTATATCAGCAGCAGAATGTTAACGATCAGACATGCAGGGCAGCGTGTGGAATGAGGACACTACAACATTCAAGCGTGGGTGGCAATATGTGATTGGTCTGGCAATTTGTTGCCAATGGCATGCATATGCAGCAAACGGCGTGTGAACGCAGGTAGCATTTTTTATTCAATGTTCGGATTCTGTCCGCGAGAAGACACGCACCGACCATACACATTCTCTGACACCCCTCCGGCGTAGGGCAGGCAGAAAACACGCATCTTGACGCTAAATGGAGCAGGCGCGACCCATGAGGTTGCCGCTGGTACCAGTTGATGCCGAACAACCGCTGGCTGTTGATTCACAGATGCAGCAATATGTCCTGCATCTTGTTCATGAACTGCAGCTTGCATTGCTGCTGCTGCCTCCATTGCAATAGCTGCAATAGTTGCACCCTCAGGGTCTTCAATCAAAGTCATGAGTTCTAGCCCTGTGGCTTCTTGAATTTTCTGCCGCAACTCAAGGGCTGCTAATGAGTCAAGACCCTGTGCTGCTAGGGGCTGATGGTTGTTGGCATTGGGGATGTAGCTGTTGGCCAGCTCGG